TCTTTTGGGAATCAAAAATGGAGAAGAGAGGCATATGAACATTGCACCTACTTTAAGGGAGCCTGAAGTGAAAATCAGAGAAATAGCAAACCTCTCATTCAGACTTCAAACATATTGGTGGGGGCCAGATAAATTGCTTTTAATGCAGTGCAATATCTCTGCTTACTGATAAAAATAAATGTCCTCTATTGAAAATATTGCACTAGCATACTTTAATGGCAAGTGATGCAAAATGACGTCTTCTTTGGTTATACATATCTGTACCTACAAATAGACAAAATCCAGAAACTATTGAGTATTAGGTATCCTGAAAAAAAAAACATTATTTAGGTTTCCCTAGAATAATGATGGTCCTAAATATATGTATATATATGTATAAATATATATAATATGTCCGCATAAACATAAATGCATTCATTAGGCGAGGCCCTATATTGAGCTATATTGCTTCAGGGCCAAAAAATGTAAGCGAGGACAAAACTGCATTCATTAAAGGAGTTAGGGTAATAGTGCCTTTGCTACAGAGTGAAGCTGACCTCCTCCTTCTCTCAGACATATCCAAGCAAGAATTTTCTAAAACTGAGAGGAATTGTAGGAGTTGGGCCTAAGAAGATATGAGTGCCCTCTCTTTAGGTTGAGTTCAGAGTCAGTAGAGGGCAGTCAGTAAATTATCTTCAAAAAAAAAGTGCATTTCTTATAAGCACTGGCCCTCCTTGCCTCCACAAAGGTTTGTGTGGCTTTTCTAATTAGAGTTGTTCACTCTCTGCTACCTTTCCTAGAACCTCAAAAGTTATCTTCCTGTTAAAAATGCATCATCTCTCTACAGAAGCTTGCCGCTTCCCTTTTCTGTTCTCATGTACTCTTTCTTGTACATGGTATAATGCAGGGAACACCCAACACCAAAACTCTTAAAATCTTCAGGTTAAATGTGTGTGGAATGTAACAAAGATGCAATAGGATCAGCATATAATAACTGGATCATGAATCTCATACTGGAAGTAAGGTTACTTGAAAGCCAAGGCAAACTGGAGAGTGACCATCATGGATATTGCATGGAGGTTGCAATGGAGGAAATTAATCTGAAGCATACAACTATCTTTAACTCTAGCATTTGCCTTTCAGAAAATAGAGGGAGGAATTTTATTTACAATATTTATTGCAAACTAGTTCTGAAAGAAAATCTGTCTGGGATGTTCCAGAACAGGATCAGATGAGATTCACCTAGTGAATCCCAGAATCCTCCACGTCTCTTGAAACAAGAATTTGAAACTGCCTTTGTCTTGATCCTCTCTACTGCTATAGTCATAGTTCCTATATACAGCTACAGACTGAGCTGCAGTTCTGTCTCCTACACGCATGTCTCTGTAGAAAGTGGGAGGAGTGATAGAAAAGCTGGTAGACAGCACCACCATAGATGCTTTCTGGAGCTTTCCTGTAAAGTACAACTGTCCTGAGGACAAATAGAATTCGATGTAATTGTTGCCAAATTAATCACCAGAGCAAATAAAAATCCCAGGTCTCATTCTTAAATATACTTCATAAAAAAGGGATGGGAAAAAACCCAGAAAACAAAAAAACCAAACAAAAACTAAAAGGGAATGTGTAAAGTGTGTTCTAAAGCCATCATTGTAAGGGAAGTATTACTTCTCATTCCCTAGAATGTTAAACTAAATATCTGGAAGTACTGGTGATTTGAAGTCACATTTGGTAATAGCAGGGCTATAAATATGGCACAAGACTGCTACATTAAAAAATGTTGTTCTTAGTTGCAAATGATTGATGCCTCTATATTGATGATTTTGAACATCAGTGTTTGAAAGGATTATATTGGGTGGAACTGGAATAAAGGTGACCTAAAAACTGCACCAAACATACATCTGTATTCATTCTGTCACCCTAGTTTATTTTTGCATTGTTCTCTTGTATTGTACTTCTAAGTTATCTTAGACTGAAACTAAAATACACATTAAAATGTTGAGAAAGATTCTTTAGAGTGATTTATACAGAATTGATTGTACTATAGTGCCAAAGATAAACTAAATCGTGAGCTATAGCACCTTCCTGAGGTTAAGTAGGTAGAGAATGGTGCTTTACTAACTTTAGCAAGGACTAGCATTGTTTTTTAAAGTCTTAGTAGAACAAGGTTTTAATAAATGATACAAATAAGTTTGCTCTCTCAGTGCCTCAACCCTTGGACTAACAAAGGTCATTGCTAATCACTTTACTAATCTGTGTGGTAGCAGTTTTCTACCAAGGCATTGTTCCAAAAAGCGGATTCTGTTCAGCACATCACTCCAGGGCACCGGCCACTGTAGTGTAATCCATGAGGAGATTTATGGACCTCAGAGTGGGACTCCTTAAAAAACATGTTAATCAGCAACCCACTGAGTGAGCAAATGGGAAATGCTGAAGCTACAGAATTTCCTCTGTCTCTGGGATGTGAAAGCCTTACTCAGTGCATTTTTGAGGATTTACACTGCTGGCCTCTCCCCTGAAGGTCTCTTTTCTTTCAAAACACTGCTAGAAAGTTATTCAGGATGGGGCTGGATCTAAACACAAGGTGAAAAGGAGGCTGTGCAGCCCTGCAGCATGAGACCCAGGTGTGATTGCTACACTGGTGTGCCAATGGGCTCGGCTTCACCCCCGTGAGAGAGCGTTATGTTACTCTCAGCAAGCTGAGAAATGGAATCCCTTCCCTTCTCTGCCTGAAGCAATCTACTTGCACATCTCTAACCTTCAGAAAACTGCTCTGCCTGATAAACTGCTGGGTATGCTGGTGTCATCTTCTTTTCTCTCACCCAACATATCCTTAAGTAGGCGACAAAAGGTGGAATAACTTCTACAGGGCGAATGGGAGAATCTCAGCCACCACAGAAAGACCAGTGCTCTGCTATAATATGGGATATGGAGAAAACTCAATCACTTCAGAAAGACAAAGGCATTGAATCTTTGTATCCCGTAACTTCAGTTCTTGGATGATGTGTTGCTCAGCATTTCAGTCTAGACTGTAGGATTCTGGCTCTGAAGGGAAACACACACAATGCCTCTGTAGCACAGAGGAGACTTATGCACCCTGAAGTAGGTCTTAGAAAAATAAAAGAGGAAAAAAAAAGTAAAACAAAATCAAACACAAGCCAGGCAGATTCTTACTTGCACAGGCCACTGCTCCTTTGTAGGGAAGATGGGTACTTCTTCCAGTCAAGTTTGAAACAGCAGCAAGAGCCCCAACTGCCATATTTGTGGGATGAACAGAGGTATCGTTTACTGAATAAACTCCCAGCCATTAGGGCTGAGGAATATGCAGTGCTGTGGATCTTGAAAGATCCTGGATGTGAGGTACATTTTACCTAGATCTGCTCACAGTGTCAGCATTGACAATTACTGAGTGTGCTGAGAAGCAGGACTTTAAATGTTCAGGGAACTCCATCAAAGAAATCTCAGGCTTGTTTAGGTATCTCAGGAGTTAGGTAGCAGCAGAATGAGGATAAGCCATATTTTGAAATAATGTAGATAATCTGATTTAGACGCCCCAGTTCTGTTTTTTGATCCAGTCCAAAGCTCAGACTCAATTTCTGTCTTAAAAGAGAGAGGGAGTGCACTGTAATTGCATAAGTATGAGATATTCAGACAGTGTAAGCGAAATAATGTGTAAGAAATAGACAGCTTTTTATGCAGCTGAAAAATTCAAAACTGATCACGAATGCTTCCCTGCTGAAATAGGAAAAGGTTTTGCAGCTGTGCTAAGTTACGCCTGAGATAGCAATTTTGTGCATGGAAGTGATTACTATCTCAGTGATACCCCCCAGCTGAGACAAAAAAAATGTTAGTAGAGGAAATTATGATGATGATGACAGCAGAGTTACCTCCAAGCTCAACATGACATGGAGTTAGGGCAGCTACAAAGTAGATAAGAATCCAAACTTCTTTAACATCGTCCTCAGCTATTTACCAGTAATCCATTTTTTAACAAGCACGCAAATACTCTGAATTTTGGTGATGTTCTTTTCACTGGTACCATATCAAATATATCATCCTTGTGTGTTACTGTGTGATATCCATATCAATTACATTGTGATACAAGTTTCAAATATATGTAAGAATTGTTTGAATCTGTGTTTTGTAACAGGAAGGTGAGACTCAGTAGACATAAAAGAGCTACAAAACCTGTGGAATCTTGCTCTGTAACTTAAAATAGCTTGCGCGATGAGAAAGAAAGTTTCTGTAAATCTGCTTTGCAATTCTAATGGAAGATACATTCTGAGCTACATTTGTTCGGTGCCTGCTACAAGAAGTCCCAGGGAAACTACACTTCACTTTCGAAGCTGTGTAATTCAGGTGGTGCCAGGATACTTCTTGATCTTAGACTGCATTTTTCTGAAGTTGGGTGATGGAAAACAAGATATGGAAGTGAAGTTACTGGCCCATCAGATAGTAGTGAGCAATCTATCAACCAATCCATTTGATCAACCAACCAATCTATCAACCAACCACATTAATTTGATATGTGTTACAGCTCTACACAGTAAACACTAAGGAAATCAGTATGTCATTTCTCATACGTGCAAGGGAGCAAACACACACTGACATTAAGTTTATAGTGACATTTGTTTGAAGTCTCACCCTTCAGTAGGATAATAAGCTGAAACTATCAATGTAGTTAAATTCAGGTAGGAATAAAGTCATGGTTATAATCATATGTGTGCATGGATGTGTGTGTGTGGCTCTGTAAAACTCTGGTTTGAGAAGACTGCAAGACTATCAAACGCATTTGAAAATGAAATTGTTTGCAGGAAAGTATGGAATTATCTCGCTCAAAAGAGCAAGCTGACAGATTCTAATGGTCCCTCCCATGCTGTGCATGATAAACATTCAGCTTATCTTTCCAAGAGCAATAAAATTTCATGTACTACTGCTTGACATAAGTATTATTTTTACATATCTCCATGCCACTGACTCTCTTGTAAGTTAATCTCATCTCTCATCAATTTTTCACCAGCTTCACTCTGATGTTGATAAAGGAGATGGTTCCATCAAATACATCTTGTCAGGCGAAGGGGCAAGTTCCATTTTCATTATTGATGAGAACACGGGGGATATTCATGCTACAAAGAGGCTGGATCGAGAAGAGCAGGCCTACTACACACTCCGAGCACAAGCACTAGATAGGCTGACTAATAAACCCGTGGAACCAGAATCTGAGTTCGTCATTAAGATTCAGGACATCAATGACAATGAGCCAAAGTTTCTGGATGGTCCTTACACTGCTGGAGTTCCCGAGATGTCTCCTGTGGGTAAGTGCAAAATACACTGTTGGTGTTGTGGGAAATTTGTTCCAATTGCCTTTTTAAAAATTTCATTATTTTTTACTGTATCACACTAAGCTACTTAATTATCTATGAGCCACCTGCAACAGTTAGGTATTTCAAGACTTAACTGGAAATAACATGCTAGATTAAGTATTTACCCTTTCAAAAATGTTGTGAAACTTGAATAGTTTTGTAGGGATTCAGATAAGCATTATATGGTGTATTTTTCATTCCAGTGCCCAGAGGCTTTGTTATATAATTCTCATTAACAATAATAAGTTTCACACCTGTGCTATGGTACTCAGAAGTGATAATACATCGTTTTGTTCAGATCAAGTCCATTCTTAACAAACTCTTCAAATTCCTGTTAGTGCATAGCATAATTTTTTTGTTAAGTGTTGCATATATCAGTAACAGTTCACTGTGTAGCTTTTCTAATACACAAATCCAGCTTCCTGGGAATTATATGCAAATAGCAGGGACTGGGGTACAGCTTGGGATAGTTTCAAAATTCCAGTGGAATCAGAGAAGAATGGCTTTTAGAGGCTTCAGATCCTCTGTTGGAAAAAAAGAAATGCTAATTTTTCCTGAGTTTGAATTAGGGAAGAATTTCAACATCAAATCCACTACCTCTTCATTTTAAAGAGACCAAATGCTCATCTGTTGTCAGGTGCCAATATTCCTTTGAAAACTGGCTGATTCAGACCAAATAGGAGTTTGGCCCAGAGACATTTTGGTAAATTTTACTTCAACGTGAAATTATAAATGCAAGCATAAAGCTAAAAAAAGGAGAAGTAGTTCATCTACTTCATTGGAAATATGTGTATGAGAAAGATAAGAGAGTTATGTGGTGATTGAAATTAGGATTTCTTTGCTTGATGGATTTTAAGCCATATGAAAATTTGATACTCTTATGGTAAGACTGCCCATATAGAATTTGCTATAGTTTCCTCAATACCATTTCCTGTGGTTTTGGAAGTTAAACAATGCCTCTAAATTAGAGCTAGAGAGAAAAAGAATCTTCCCTAAGTGCCCTGCAGCAATCATTAGTCCACACTGCTTTTATATTTGAAACTCAGCTTAGGAGCTAATAGGAGATAAGAAAAACATTGCTAATGAGTTTTCAATGTATTTATTTTACTAAGCAGTGAGCATAGACTCTATTTCTCATTTGATACTTGGCAGTTCTTCATTGTCACTCGAACACTATGTGGATGGCAGAAGAAGCAATAGTAGTCTTGGAAAGAAAGATGGACACCAGAGCTTTTCAGGAGTATCAGAGAGGAAATGAGGTTTTGATACATTGCTGAGAACTTGCAACTGCTGCATGTTGGAAAAACAGAGATAATCAGATAATCTAAGACTGTAAATGCTAAGTATTCAGCACTTCAAAAATGTGTTCTGTAAAAATATATAGATACATTTTTCAAATTGCTGTTTTGTTTTGGAATTGGATTAAGTGAGCTGTAGCATGCAGCAATGATTAGATTTTTACACCTTCATCCTGTGCCCTGAAGAGCAATATCTCCACATTACCGTTTTGCATGAGTTACCTCTGTCTTGTCCTGTACTGGCATATTGACGTATGGACAACTACTACTGATACATGAGGTTTACCTACACATGCAGATCCATGCCTCTACCCCTCACCCATGCTCCATTTGTTCCAAAAATATGTTTGGAATCAATCTGTGGGGAGTGCACAGTATGCAGTGGAGAACATAAGGACTATTTTTCAAAATGAGCTGCTTTTGCATATTTTGTTGAATCTTTACCACATAAATGACTGAAAGAAATTCTCTCCCATATGGACTGCAGCACCAAGTATGTAGCCAACTTAGGTAGAATATTGTGCAAAATTATTAACTGAGACTTGTGCACTCTTTGGGATTTCTGTCAACTAAGGGCAGTTTCAACTTCATGAGCTTCCTGAAACTGTACATTTTAAATGTCTTAATGGTTTGTATCACATAACTACTGAACGCTGCATTGTTACTGAACTGCCTGTGTGACACTTGTGTTACACAGTCACATCAATTCATACTTTATTGATATAACACAATTTTTATTAATCACCTAGAGTATTTATGAAATATTAAGGAGAAACAAAGTATCTCTCTCCTATTTTTTAAAAAATATTTCTATGACAAGGATTTTTAATTGGATATGAAACAAAATGAAAGAGATCATAGGATTATAAACCCAAATTAACTATAAAGTTAGGAGAACCATAACCTTTAACCTAAAGGATGGTTATGCAAGTATAATGATTCTATATTTTATTTGACAATATTCTAGTACATTATGAAAGGTTAATTGAAGTCAATCTTTTGTGTTATTTGAAATTACTCTGGGTCAGGTTCAAATTATATTTGGGTCAAGTCAAATTATATTGATTATCCCGGATGGGGTAAATATCTTGATGGCTTGTGAATCTCTTCATAGCAAAAACCTCAAAGATATGGTTTATCTGAAAATCACAGGGCTTTTTTTTAAAGTATGTCTCTTACTTAAAAAAACTAGCAGCGTTATATCGCAAACAAAAAGATTGTAAATTATAGTTAAAAGAGTATTGAAAGAGTTGTTGACCAAAAAAAATAGCTGATGTGAGATACTGATCTGTTTGGCTTATAGTCAAGGGAACTGGGGATAAAAATTCCAATACCCAACATAATTTTGGTTTCATTTAACCTTTTCTACTCTCCAAACATATCAACAGCTTTGCTTGTTACCCAGCACAACAAGTATCTTTCTTGCCACATTTATTGTTTCTGATTGAGATGGATAGAAACATTTTATTTTTATACCAAGGAAGGAAAAAAAAAGCTTGATATCAATCTTAAATCTTTGGTACAAGTGTGTAGTGGGTTTTGAGAGCCTGAATGAAGGGGGGGTCTCTCTCCAGCCACAAGCCTCCTCTCCTTCTTTTTATCTGACCTTGTTGCTGGGCTGAGACCAATCTTGGACTTTGTCCTCAAGTGAAGGCAATTTAATGAGGCTGTGGGAGGAGAGGGAGGAGGTGAAGGGGGTACAACCTGTCTCTAGGTACTGTCCCTTCTCCTTCATACTCCTGGAGGGGAAAGGTTGTGGAGGCATTGCTATATCAGCTCTGGGCGAAAGCCAGTGGCAGAAGCACAGAAATTCTAGATGGTATGGAGCAGAATCAGGCCAGGCTGTTGCATGTAAGAATTAAGCAGGTATTACGGATAACCTGATAGTAAAGTTGTATAACATTTCTAGTAGCAGCTGATACCATGTAGAAATGTGATACTGTCATGGAATTTTTTTGTATATTACACATTGTTAACCGATATCAGTCAATGCTTTTAATAACTGACTGACTTTAAAGGTCTATTTTTAATTTGTTAGTGTGGGTACAATTCAATTGATAAGAGTTTATGCAGTTTCAAACGTTAAGTATTTGTTAAGTTTGTCTACTTTTAGAAACGTGTTTTCCCTTAAATGATTTCACCAACGCTAAAAATGGAAGTCATACAAGCATTTCTCGTACAAACTCATTTAAAAATTTTGTTAAAAGACCACACAAGTTTCTAGCAAGCTTTCTAAAATGCTTTGGGTGGAGGTTTCTAAAACAATAAGCTTAGATATTTAAAAAGGATCCCTTTCAAGGATCTCCAACTCAAACTAAACTTCAGCAACATTTTATCTGACCCTATAACAGAAACGGTTGATCTCTGCAACATGTTAGAAACATTGCTGAATCTTGACTTGGTTAAATTAAAGTAAGAATAACATTCTAAATTCAAGGTCCTCTCTGCAAATATTCCTTCGTTCCTTTTGCCCTAATATCAGAATTTAAGTAGGTCAAGTTCTCAGATTACTGCGATTCTGTAATATCTACCAATATCTATTAAAGGTTAGATTAAAAATTATGATGTAAGCATTCTGAAAAAACAAAAAACCCAGAAATCTGTGCCACTCACACAAAATCCAATGTGCTATTAGCTAGCTTCCATAAAGAAATATGTGGAACATCCTTTGATTATCAGCATGGATTTTCCCTCAGTATTTGCTACAATTGTTGAAAAAGTTTATGAAGTTGCTGCATGCATAATTGTTTTTAATGAACTGATATTCAAACTTTGTTATGAAGACATAATTGTAGAGGAATACATACATGAGAGGGAAAGATACTTTTTCAGTAAATAGCTCCTATTTATTTTTTCAACCCATGTTAGATACACAAACTGTAAGAAATATTTAAACTTGTAACTGTGAAGCTGCAGGTTATAACAAGTCAGTAATGAAAGGTTGGGGTAGGGCTAGTGTCCTGTTTACACATGTAGTCTAGGGCTCTGAACCATGCTGCCATAAACAAGATTTACTGGGACACTCCTTTTGTTGGATGGAGTGAAGTTGTGGTGTTGTTTGTTGACTGCCCATGTTACCTGTAAGTCCTAATCTTGGATGCATGTATGACAGCTGGCTGTCTGTGTTATGAAGTAGGGGAAAGTGTTCAGGATTAAAAGGAAGACTTAATTTCAATGCATGAACACAAACCCTCCTTTTGTTAGATGATGTATTTGGAACTACGATGCAACTACCCATTTTTCCTCAGCCTACAGATTTATTGACTATCCATGAGTATCTATATAGCTTTATTGGTTAAAGTTTTTCTTAAGGAAAATAAGCATATGAATTTGATATCAATCCTTTGCAAGAAAAAATAGGATAGCTCTGGGTTGCAATGATTGCTGTCTGAAGGAATTCCTGTTCTTCAAGAGAAATCTGCTTCCTCTGGGAAAATCTCTGGAAATTTTCATATACTGATCTTTGCGTGCATTAAGTTTCCTTGGAACTGAGTTCCTACATGTAGGACATTTCACATAGTTAGCACACCTTATGATAGCTTGCATATTCTTTTTAAAAAATATGTTGTGCAGAAATCTGCCTCTCAGCTTGGGACTTCTGGAACCTCGAAGTTTTTGTGTGCAATTGGTAAAAAAATAGTGACAATAGCAGTTGTTCTAAAAGATCTTTCCTACATGAGGTTTGAGAGAAGTTGATTAACATAAAGGGACTAGAAAAGTATCATTGTTTTTTAGTTGCTGATTACACTCAAGTGGGATGAGTGCAGAAAGATTTTGTGTTAGAATTTCTATCTAAAAAAATAAATAACATTTAAAGGATCTATGGTTTGAATGAGCAAATCTTCATTTCAAGAGAGAGCCAATTAGTTTCAGATACTGACTTTATCCATGTCACGGAATGCAGAGGGTTTGTTTGCTACATCAATAGATTTTTACAGCAAACAAACGCTTCTAAGCTTGCAGGATTTCCACAATGTGTGTTGAGGTTGAAGAGCCTGTAATTTCTTTGATCTTGTACTGGTCTGGAGTCCTTGAGAGTGGAAAGAGCAAGGAGCAAAGATGTAAGTGTCTGTGAGGTTTATAAGCAGTTTTGCCAATATTTGCAGACGCTGTAAGTTTCATTGGCAGGGCTTAGGGGCTTCGTAAATGCGGCAAGCCCGGCTTTCACAAAGAACACAGCATGTCAAACGGTCGTCATGAGACCCTTGCACTCAAGAGCTGGAGAGACTCTGGCAAGTTTAAAATAGGTCCCTGTATGAAATGACATTACAGAGTAATCTGTAAAATCAGTTTGACATACTGAATCAAAGCTCCTAGGTACTGGTGAACAGAAAATGGATGTATTTTAAGTTCCATAACTGAAAAATGACTCGATGGATTAACTACCAATTTTCTTTTTAAACTTTCCATCTACTTAATAGTTGTGTGTGAAATTTCAGGTTGAGAATAACCTTTTACCTGTCCAAGATATTAAACAGTCCACAAGAGAGAAAAATTGCATTTAAAATAGAATTGCAATCATAATACTTTGTCATGGATACTTCAGGAAGAGAGATCAGGAAAGCGGGTTAGTAGGCCATAACTTACGTGAGTGAAGTTATCTTATGAATGATCATTTCTGGCCAGGATTCATTCAAGCAGGTCCCATCCTTTGTCATCTGTACCATTTTATGGAGGGCTGCACTTAATCTTCTCTCTCTCCAAATCTTCATCCTGGTTCCAAGGCCCATTTATGATCCTCTGCTCAACTGAGAATTGAAAAGTTGAGGAAAATGAATGGGAGACATACTAAATCAGACATGAAGAATTTTAGAGCTTTCACTCACCTACTTCCTGAAAAAATGCAATAAAACTGACCAAAATACAACTTCTGTTAAATTCACCCTGGACACTCGCTATTGCAGTCTGTTCTTAAAGAGTAACTTCTAGACTTGCTGCGCTCATTTTCAGATGTCAAAAATGTGTTCCTTCGGAAAAAGAATACTCTCTTTAACAAATGGTTTTCTCTAATCTTGTATCTAAATCCAGTTTAGGAAGCAATCTGATCCTTCGTAGAAGTCCTTTACTGGGCATCTGCCAAATCGTTAAAATATTAATTTGTAGCCTAACCTTCAATCTGCCAGTGAGAAAAAATAATCCTTTCTGGCTATCAAAGGGTGGTGACCATAACCAAGGCCCTGGCTCCCAAGTGTTGTTTTATTCTGCTCTCAGCATACATCATGGAAGCTGTTGTACAGAACAAAACAAATGGGAGCTGACACGGAGAACATAATGAATAGGAGCTGGATGCAGAATGAGGTCCTCACAAAATATACCCTTCTTACTAGCCAGTTAGACATTTTGCTTTCTTATTCCTGTCAACATAGAGACATTTCTTGCTCAAGAAATGTTTATGCAGCAGATTATTACCACAACTGATACTGAAGTATTGCAGATTATTCAAGGAAATGAGTACTTCTTAAAGGAATTTAGAGACAGCTTTCGCCAGATTTTCTCTGAGCTGAAACAGAAACTCTTCAGCCATCTCTTTGTAAAAGGGTAAATAATGTTACAGGCTAAAATTAATTTTTATATATAAGTGTACAATTATCAAAATATATAACACTTATATATGTATGTATAAGTCATATAAGTATATGACTCTCCAACTACTCATTAAAATTTTAGCATTCAGACTTCTCTTCAAAGGGAAACTATTACTGTATTTCATACTTAAGCGTAATTCAGGCATCACCATAATTTAAGAAATATCGTTCACATACCCTCCACCAACCAAAGACAGAGACAGAAAGGGGGAGCTACTGAAATGGTTTCTATTGCTGTGAGTCAAAGTCTGAGACTATTTGGGAAGATGGAACTCTGTAAGAGCCAATATTACTGGTTTATAAAGAGGACTTTATACCCTAAGCTGAATCAGTATGGAAATGATGAAAAGTTGTGAAAAAAACACCACACACTATTCCATATATATATTGGCATAGCGTGTTGAATAGCTCTAGTTCAGATTCTTGATCTTTTATAGTCCCTCAAACATTTTGCAGGTACCTCTGTGGTTCAAGTGACAGCCACTGATGCAGATGATCCTACTTACGGCAACAGTGCTCGAGTGGTTTACAGCATATTGCAAGGGCAACCTTACTTTTCTGTGGAGCCAAAAACAGGTAACTTTCCATAAACTCTCTGAAGTAATGCTGAGAAAAAAGAAAATGTGCATTAAAACTTGCTAGGAGCTTATTAAGTAGTTGCTTAGTTAATTGAATACATCTGGGTTTTGTTGACCATTTAATTTCTTATTCTTCAGAATAGCTTATGAAAACCATGCATCCGAGCTATGTGATAAGCAGACATTGCTGGAATGGGAATTTTTATCTTCTTCTCAATCTACCAGTTCCTGGGTCTGCTGCCTGCTGCTGTCTTTCTGATCAATGAAAATTTCAAGATGCTGTAAACAAGTTTTTTGCAGATGTTGGTTTTAGTAATATCTAAATGTCACATAGCCTTAAGATTTCCTTAAGTACAGATTTATGGCACAATTACCTCTCCATTTTACTTTTTAAACTGAAGTTCTGTTGTGGGAAATGTATCTTTTCTTTATTAGTTTGAAGAAGAAAGCACTGTGCTTCTTATCTGATATAACATTTTACTGCCACTTTTGAAACAAATTACTGGTGGAACTTTTTTTTACTATTTTCATGAAATTTTGTGAATATTTTAAGCCACAACAAGATGCAAACTTTAATCCTATGTTGGTTCAATAAACATTACCTGTTCTACTGTATCATTTCATGGAGAGGGAACCTGTTTGGTTCTTGCTCTGCTTAGTCTCATTTGGTGCTCGAGCCTTCACTTACACCAATGTGAAGAAGATTTATAATTTCATATAATTTCAATTGCATCATTTCAGATATGGATAAGTTGAGACAAAAGAGAAACAGACAGTTTACCATGATTATTATAAATAACCTGTGATGTGAATCAGACCTGAATCCCAGTGTTATGACCAAAAGGTCACACTCTGTTTAAGAACACCTACATTTGCAGAAATAAGTGCTCTTATTATCTTCATATTGCAACAAGTCCATCCTCAGTAGCGATCCATAGTACTTTCTTTTCTCCCCCAATGACTATGATTTATACTGGTTTTCTATCTGTCTCTACAGCCCTTGAACAATAATATGGTAGTTTCTGCTAAATCAATCTGCTAAATCTTTAAGGATTCAGACTGAAATGTTTGCATACATTTTCACTTTGATATGATATTCAAATTTCGTGTGTGCGTAATAATTAACTTCCAAATGATTGGTTAACATTGCCTGGTAATTTAACTATGATAGAAAAACAAGCAGGCCAGAAAAAGATACATAGAAACAATAACGTTATGAACTTGTATATTAATTGTATTTTAATATGTCTTGTAAAACAGGTGAAAAAGTACTAGACAGTCTTTTTGTGAAATAAATGTTTCAACCCAGAGATGATTAATGGCAAGTCTTGCATTCATAAGGGAAGAAAGAAAGAAATAAAACTCTTAACTAAGCATTCAACAAATATCAGATGAAGAGATACATGTCCCAGTGTGCCTCCCCTTTATTTAGTTTGTTTATGTTTCCTTTGCTGCTGACATTAAGTGCCGGTGGAGTAAATGGCTGCCTCTCTGGAAATCAGAGTTAGCGGCTGTACTGTGTACTGAGCATGAAATATTCATAAAGTCATCATGTTTTGAGAAGGCATATTTATTTTCTGATCTATATCAGGAGAACTGAAAGGATGAAACATGGAGCTTTCTTCTGGTTTTCGTTTCAGATCAATTAATTACAAATAGTATGCAGATCATCAAATGGACATAACAACTACTTTAGTTATCGCAGTATTTCCATTAATAAATCAAAAATCTCTTAATTATAATAATGCTTTTTATGGTAAAATAATTTCATATATATATGCAGTGTGTCATGATATCAATATTAGTAAGAGTTAATGTGGTGAACGCCTATTCAAGACATTGTGAAATGCATCTTGACCTTGGAATCTTAAAAATGAATACAGAGTATTCTGTTCTTCCTAGCTCTAAAAGAGGAGGAAATCAAACACAGAAGATGACATCTTCCAGAGAAGAGAGTGTTACCCAGGACATTATGAAGTCTATAGTTCAGGGAGCAATTATTCAGAAAACACAGTCATGGATGGCATTCCCAAAGAATCTAGTACTAAATTAAAAATTGTGGGTTTTAGTGAATACTTAAAATAAGCTCATAGCATGCCAGTTCAATTCCTAGCAAAAAACCTGTGGTATTAGTGTTGAAATTAATTCATTCCTCTCTTGCTGCAGTCATTGATCTGCCGCTATCTTTTAAAAGCAAACTCAGCTTTCATGGTAATGTATTTGCTTGTGCAACCGTTGACGTACCTTGTCTTACTGTAGGTGTTATCAAGACTGCCCTTCCGAACATGGATAGAGAAGCCAAGGACCAATACCTACTAGTTATTCAAGCAAAGGACATGGTTGGGCAGAATGGTGGATTATCAGGGACTACATCTGTAACTGTCACTCTGACTGATGTTAATGACAACCCACCCCGGTTTCCAAGACGTAAGTTACTTTGTAAAAATATGACTTGTAATAGTATTTCTAAACGTTGTCATTTTCTTTACATGCTATGCTATTTCTAAACAAAAAGTGCTCAGCTTCCATGTTAAGTACTTTGACAATCCCTGAATTCATTTCAGTTGAAATGATATACAGCAGGTACATTTATTAATGTATTTTACTTCCTATCTGTGAATAAAAAGGCAAAAAAAGGTATACCTTAAGCGATATTTAGCCTTTGACAGTTAGACTTTAGGATTCATAGTTCTTTAACTTGACTCTTAATCTTTCATATTCCTTTGGCATTTTAGCAGGATTCCTCTTGTTTCCTAAGTTAATCACAGAAGAACCGTAAAGTCATCTTCCTTCCATTTACTTTTTTTGACCAAGGTGGCTGTCATCCTAGCCAAAGAAAGGAGTACGCAGTTGTACACTCACATCTGAAGAGCTCAGTTCATTAATAGCATTCTGTCTGGGGTGCTTTTTTCCTTCAAAAAGACCAAACATGCTTGCTAAGTAGAATTAAAATAATGTGAAGAATATATTCACGTCCACTCCAATCTCACCTCCAGTGATATAAAAAAATAGATTTGTACATAATAGATTTCATGTTATTTCAAGCCACCAACTGCTTGAAATAATAATAGAATAACTGAAGTTATTTTTGAAGGAGAGGGTGTTATTGGCTACAGACTGCACTCAGATACCCTTATGACAGCATATATATAATTTTCTACTTGAATGAGAAAGCTGGAATTTTCAAGAATGCAGATGGTGCACTTACTGTTAGAGAACTGCATATATATCAGTTTCTAGTCATATTCTGATTGCAAACTGCTAATCAAGACACACAGATATAAAATAATAAGAGTTTATATTGATAATATTTGACTTGGTTTTTCCTTCTTTTGTGGAAAACAAAGTAAAATATTTTCTGCATTGGAGCTCTGTAGCAGGCATTCACCTCATGATTTGCACTTAAGTTCTGAATTATGGTCTTGCATCTTTGCCTTGTACTTCTCTTGTCATAGGAAGAAATTATGTCCATAGTACTTAAAGTAGAGACCATCACAAGGAAAACCTAGCAGAGAAAGGGCAATTCTATTTTAAACTGAAGAATATATTCCGATAGCTTGTGTAAATATGCAAATGCATGATTTAAAGGAAGATAAACTTCAAGAAGGCTAGATTTTTTTAGCCTACAGTCCCAGAAGACTCTGAATTCATTAAATGTTTACATTTCACAGGATCATATCAGTATAATGTCCCAGAGTCTTTGCCAGTGGCTTCTGTGGTGGCCAGAATAAAAGCTGCAGATGCAGATGTGGGACCTAACGCTGAAATGGAGTATAAGATTGTGGATGGTGATGGCTTGGGAGTATTCAAAATCTCTGTCGACAAAGACACCCAGGAGGGAATCATAACAATTCAGAAGGTAAGTCTGATTTTTCTCACCGATTCTGTTTTGATCTGTGCAAGATGAGTCTCTTCTAAAAACCTTTTCTGGTGTAAAAGTTTTCATTCATATATTTCATCTTGACTTCAGTGTGTGTGTGTGTGATTTTGTGCTTTTTAATGACTTACACTGAAAATTATTCTGTTTTTTTTTTTTGCAATAGCTGTATTGTTTTGATGAGGGTTTTTTTAAAGCTCCTGCACATAAAAGTTTAGATGGGAATCTAAGATTTAGCCTCACTTGTCCTTGTATTAAAGAGAAAATGTGAAAATAACTCTTAGAGTAAAAATGCAAGTTCCAAATACAAAATTGATCACAAACATAATTATTAAAAAAAAATCTAATTGTCTTTGGCTCATGTTGCTCTACCAGAAGGCACATATCAGTAACTTTAAAATTATGTATCGGTAAAAATGCTGAGAGCTGGTAAGCAACCATAGATGTCACAGCAAATGGAGGATGTTCAGCACTCTTGAAAGATCAGGCTCTGATATGTGTAATGTGAACCATATTTTTTCAAGACAAAAACATCCATCTTAGGTTTCTTGCAAACTGTGCTAGTTTCTGCTTAACACGTTTGAAATACAAGTAATAAACTGTTAATTGTCTCTTTGTTCAACAGCCAAACTCAATGTGGCTCCTTCAGTTTGCTTATTTAAGGGTTCTGAGCAAAGGTTTGGAAGAAATATATGCCTAGCCAAGAGAGAGCGAGCACTTACCAGTGCCACACTGGTAACACTGAATCAGTCGGGGTCTTCAGTGGTCTAATTTGAGGACTGATGAGTTCATTTTAATTTTCAGTATGCTTTTGTAGGCATGGTGTTTGTTCCTGGAATATCCTGATTCCAGTGTTTTACAGTGGACCAAATAACTGCCATTTATTATTTCTATAATCACTTTAGCTAGATTGCTCAATGGACTTTTCAGTACTGAACATTTGTCCTGAGAAGTGCTCTATGAAATAGCTATTGGACTATATTAAAAAGCTCACAAAATTTTGGCCTGATAAAATGCTCCAATTTGCTAATCATTTTTAAACCTAGATGCTGCTATATTCTGACACAAGAATTCGGACTTTTCTCTCTGCAGCATTAGAACTTTTCTCTCATTTTCCTACTATTATCGATTGACTTACTTTCCTCTGCCATACCCAAAGGTGAGTCAGATGCTGAGGGGCACCTCCCAAACCTCTGGATGCCCTTATCTCTTAATTTGGACTCCAGGGAACTTGATGCCTTGCCCAAGGCTGAAAGATCCTCCCTGCCAACCCTGCAGAGAACGTTGGTTAGGAGGGAGGACAGTAAGTGAAGAGCTCAAGCACAGTGGCTAACAGGCACTGCACCTTATTCTCTGGAGAGCATGTACGTAGGAGACATTAATGACAGTGTATGCAGGTCAAATGGGCTTCAATCACCTCCAATCAGATCACTGTGGAGTCGGGCAGAGGTTATCCCTGCATGATAATGTGTGCTTGTTAGCAAGGAATGAGGGAAGAAATTAAGTCTGTAGCCTGGAACACACCTAAACGTTTTACTATCCAGCAGGTGACGTTCTATACACCTCGGAGTGCAATTAGATCTCTCCTTTTCATGCCCTGAAATCAGCTGAGGCGTTGAGGAGCAGCTCAGCCTCCAGACGCATGCCCATCATTTTAAACTGGTGTGTATTTATGCGCTCAGATGACATGTCTGTGTACACATCAAGCAGTAAAGTGCCAAGGCAAAGACTTCTGAAAAGGCATGCTTCGGTTCTAAATGCAAATGCATACTTTAGCTTCACATGCTTTTGCTGCCATCGTACATACAAATCAGCCGGCCAGGCATGAAAATCACTGCCAGTATCTCGGAGCGGCTGAAGGCACTGCGCCGTTCATTTTTGTGCTGGGTGTTGTAGAGTTCCACACGCAAACTGACGATTTTACATTCTGTTTTTAGAAGGGTAACCGTTTTGAGACAATTTGAAAAGTTGACTTCCTCACTAAAAACTAAAACTTTTTTAGCATGTAAAGAACATCAAGTAAAAAAAAAAATAGGTTTTCGTAAAAAAAAAAATATTGAGAGAAGTAAGATTTAAGAATTCAGAGAGCAAAGCAGGATTTTTGTATGATCTAGGTGGATGGAATATGAAAGAATATGCCCAAGGGTCAGCAAAATTGCAAATAAACTATGTATATATATAAATTCAGGAAAATGAACTTATTTATTTATTTATTTTAAAAGAGAGATAAATCATGATACTAGGAAGAGAAAAAATGTTGCATGGCTAGGTATTTCCCAAGGTTATTTGTGTATAATGGACTTGACTAATACATGTATTGACTTGAAAAATGGCAAAATTGGTGAATGAGATTTGGGTGTGTTTAATTTTTTGTTTGTTTTTTTTCCATGCATATTTGAATACATTTTTCTTTGTACCCTGTGACACAGAGACTTCAAAACATCAAAAGCCAGCAGAAAAAAAAAATTGTTGTTTTACTCTAACAGTGATATTCATGAAAATATAGAGTGTATTCTTCCCTCCTTTATATCTCTTCTGCATTGCTAAATCCAGATATCTCTTTGGCTTGCAGTTTATCCAGGATGGGTTTTTCTGTAAACAGTTTGAGAACAGTGCTATTTTTCAAATAATAGAAGTAGCAGTTCTGCTCATAGTTTTTATAGCCATGGAAGGACTGGGGATTGTGTGTTCCTGAACATGCTAGTACCGTTGCTGCCTGGTGCCTAATGTCGGTATATATTAGCTACTATACTATACCTCAGTTCAAGGTAACATTTTGACAATAGGCTGGTACTCTTACAATAACTCGCTTGACCATATAGAATCACACAGCAGAGGAATATTTCCTCTTTTTCATCCACTTGGTCTTTATCCTTCCAAAGAGTAAAGAGTAGGATTGTACTACCTTATGCAGCATGACTAAGGAGCGTGCATGCTGTACCACGGTGCAATATTTGCTGCTATATGCTTTCCACATACTTGTGATACCTTATTTTCTTTCATCCTGGTTAGGAAGTTTGAATCAGGATTAAATGAATGAGATGTGAAATTCATGTATTCCAGCAACTTGCTTAAGTTCATTGCGGGGAGAGGGGGGGCAGGAAGCTTTTTCCAAATATTCTTTGGGACAAGGACTAACTTTTTTTCATTAATTTACAGCTTAAATAATAACAAGAGCTTAAGTCTAGGTAGAATTGATTTTTTGTGAGATCAGTGAAGCTAGAATTTCATCTTATGACAGGAGCTAGTAAAAACAGTATTGAACCATTTACTTGGTTATTGGCACTAAAAAATAAAGTCCGCCTTCTTCTGCGATACATTAACTGAATTAATTGCCTGAATTCAGGCAATATGCAAAAAAATTATCCAACATGTATCTAGAAGGGAATATAAAAATGTGTAAGTTGTTTTTATGATGGCATGCTCTGTTTCCAACTTGCAATAAGATATGAAAAATGCTAAAAGACAAACTTTATTTTCCAGAAGTTGGTATAAACAACAAATGAATGGAAACCATAAGCACAGTTCAGAGTGGTATTCTCAGCTTGCAGAAAGGGTAGGAAAGTGGTGGGAAAACTAGTGGGGCTCTAATCCTTTAACCTGTTATGTTCGTGCTATTTGTTGCCTAGAAGTTTCAAGTAACTGTGGAAACTTTCCCATTTTTTCCTTTCCCACTTTCTCCGTTACTAAATAATAATAATAAATAAATGAAAAGTTCTCGCTTGTCAAATGAAAAAAAAGAAAGTTCTTCATTTATTTTTATCCTGTACAGAACAGTCTAAAGATACTACCTACTCAAACTCCATGCTAGATTTCTGACGTTGCAAATAATGGGAAGGTTTGTCTATTCTCCACCCCAGAGGAACTCTCCCTGTAGTGAATTCCTAAGAAAAACTAAATTAAGTGTGTAAATTACTTTGAAGCACTATTTAAGAAAATATCCATCCTAGGTGATCTTTTTAGAAATCATTTTTGAAAACGAATTGGGCATTTATATTTCTTAGAAGTAAAGGAAAATTTTACCCTGGTTCACAGTATGACTCAGTTCCCCATCTGTAGAGAAGGACCAATTCCTTCCCATGGTTTCATTGGTAATTTACATTCTGTTATCATTGCTCTGTTAGTAAGGACTCAGATCATTTGCATAGCTACATTCAACAGTGGTGAAAGTGTTTGGAAGAAAAGTGTAATTTTTCTGAATAAAATGGAGTTTTAAAAAATGTGTTGGATTTGTCTCTGCAGTAGTAACCTTAGAACTGAAGGACCGTTTATGGAAGTGAATGATGATTCAGTCATTTAATACAACAAATCCTGAAGTGTCCATGCAAACCTATGTGTGTACAATTTCAAAGTGAATTCATGTTGACTGTTCACAGAATTCTGATAGTAATATACATGAATGGAATTTTGGCTTCCCTTTCTAAGCAAAATCCATACACAAGACCATACTGTTTGCAGTTTCCAGAGTACTATTCCTAAAAACAGTGCACTGAAAAAGGCATCATATAAGTACAGATTCCACTTTTTGCCCAAAGTTGCAGGCTGTAGTTAGGATTCAGTAAAAATAATAGCTTAGTAGCAAAACATCTTAAGATAAAAATCTGATAGATGGTCTGTATCCACCTACACTTTTATCAAATATTTGGTGCTTAAAGTTGTAATGGTAATTTAATAATAAAAAAGGCTGCAAGGTATATACTTATTATGTGTATCATATGTGACTTTCTGGAAGGTTATGAGATCTGATTCAAGACATTTGAAGTCTATGGAGAGATTTTAGTGGACTTAAGTGAAAAAATAAAAAAGCCTGAAGACTCTATAGAGAGGGTTGTCTTGTCTTACTGTAGCAAATGACAAGCATTAAGATTTCCCATGGTACAGTTCTTGCTCACTTTACCTTCATTTCTCCTCCCAATACACAGCCCTACCACCAATATCACCAACCAATTTGAATGTTAGAGAGAAGAATGTGAGAATAGTGTTGCAAAGTACTTTCTCATAGAAATTGACTGCTAAGAGATTATTCTAAAACGTGAGTTCGTTCTAAGAATAATACTGGCAATTATAAAAATGGGGGGTTTATGTGTAAGCCTTTGAGTAGAAAGCTATCTTTCTGTTACTGTTAACATTTCACTTTGTTTTGCAGCTAGAAAATTTTCTTTCAATTCTATATCAGAGTTTACAATGTAAGAACTTGAAGCTTCCACAGTTCCTTTGAGAGATAATGTGCATTTGTTTGATGTACTGCACTTTTCAATATAAAACCTCAGCTGGGCTTAAAAATGGGATTTTCACCTCTGAAAAGTACATTATAACAGAGTTACCATACAGTGAAAAATGAACATTACAAAAATGAGCTTCCTGTGAATGATAACTTCATATCCAGCCTCTGTAATATAGATGACTTTTTTTGTAATTTCTTTCAGAAAGAATAAAATTTGTACCCCTTAAGAGAAAAGAGAAAAAAATAAAAAGAAGGAAAGAAAGAAAGAAAGAAAGAAAGAAAGACTCCCACAAACCCCCAAATGAGCGAAAGATGAATGGATCCTGCACAGGATCTAATCAGATAACACTAATGCACAGATATTAATGAAGCTGTCAAGCTCTATTCATTGTACTGAAGAACTGAAGTATACATTGACCATTTAACTTTCAACACTGGTGTACTGATTTGTAGTCTGTTGACTTGGTATTCCATTATTGGAATCTGTGCTTTTGTTATAGCAGGAAATAATGAAGGTGTGATCTGAAGGCCAGTTAGATAATGCTCTCTGTATAACAGACATCAATGATAATTAGATAAGAGGGGAAAAAAAGGTCTTTTATAGTCACTTTTTCAGTCATTCATTAGTGTGTGTAGTATGTAATTTCTTCGCCATATTATCTATGAATTGTTGAAACATTTCTACCATTCAAGAAGTCTTGCATACTGATCATACCTTAGAGATTTTGTTTATTTTCCCAGATTATATTCTGCCTCGAAACTTGGTACTGCTGTATTCCCCAGTATAGGATATTCAGTATAGGTGTATTCACCATGTAGGATGAGAGGATGTGTATCTTAAAGGAAAAGACTGAGGACGATGACTGTAGCTTTTGTAGACATTGTCATGCTCCACAGGAGACAGACTTTGCTACAAAGAACTAAAAGAAAAAAACAATTACTGCCCCTATATAACACAATACCATTTGATGTTGTAAAACCCCTTTGCCAATCCATACTTTCCCTCTTCTAAACACCAGCTGTTCCCCAATGTACATGTACGTATGATAGATTTTTGTATTTTTTTACTTTTTTATTTTTCGTTAACAAGGACCTTTACAGCTTTTGAAAACTCTCAGCAACTTTGTGTACCAGAAGATAACTGAGGGAATCCTACGGCAGGATTCATATTGCTGAAAGCAGATGTTTACTTCTTCCAGTATTCCTTTACTAGTGACTGGTGTAAAACAGGCTTTCATAAGTAGACCTGCTGAATTTTGCTACACTCAGAGTAAGCACCATATGGTGATTTTCTCAGATGTAGATGGGTAAGTTAGAGAAGGTGAGACCTGCTCTTAGTAAGCAATCCTGGTTAGTTTTGCATCCTTCTCTATAAGGAAATACCTTTCTAATGAAAGTGGTTTTTGTATATTGCCTACTAGTCTAACACTCTTGTAATCCAGTCAAATAAAGAATGACCTCTTTCTACATTACAAGAATGAGATACGATGATATAAAAGTGTGTGTGATAAAAATTCACATGGAATACATGTTTTTAGGATTTCAGTTATTAAAGTTCTAATTTTGTCTTCTTTGATCAATATAGAAATATGGGAATGTCTTAAATTAATTTAAATAATATTTCTTCATTGTTGTGCTTAGTCTATCCAAATTAAATTTTATATAATTTGTCCAATTACTCCACTACATATTTTTGTACATTCTGACTGAAAATATACTGTTTGCTAAAGGCTTCCTTTTTTTTTTTGTTCAACAAATCTCAGCCTTTTGTCTCTGACATTGAAGTTATAAATTCTTTAGTTCATATGATCCTTTATTGGAAAAAGAGAAGTCTTAAGATATTTGTGTACTTCTCTGTCTTCTCCTTAATTTTGCTGCTCATCTGGTCATATCAGTGGCTTAATTGTTATCCCCGTACAATGTAGTTTCTGAGACATTTTTCATCATCCTAACACCACATTCACCACATTACATTTACATTATGGCTGTGAGGTTTGTTTTCTAGCACACATATTGTACTTTAAATATAAAATCAAAACTAAAATTAGAAACAATTAAACATGCTTTAGTAATAAATACTGACCAGTTGCATACAGTATTAACGACCAGTATCTAGACAACTTTTCTTTTATGGCATAGCTGTTCTTGGAGAGCTGTGGATGCTACAGCTCAGATTCAGTGCAAGAAGTAAGCACTTGCCTAACATGAGGAACACATGTATACCCATTCAAAGAAGCCTTTTGCTGGCACATAGAGTTTATAATAAAGTTCAGTGTCTTTCTGAGTATGATGTCTTGCAATTCATTCTTCATTTTAAAATCTAGACTGTTTACAGCTGTATTGTAACATCAGCATAATCACTGACTTTAAGATGCTCCTTAGGGATTTATCCCACTGTAACTTGATGGAAAATTTGGACCCTTGCATTTGTAGGTCAACAGATGTGTGTTTCACCTCTGCTGCTCCTCTAAGTGAGTACAGGAATGTTTTTCAGATGCTGTCAGATTATTTTGCAAGAACATTTCAGATCCCTATGATGTATTTAGAATCAGAACTGCAGAGAACCCTTTTTAATCTGTTTTATACACTTGGAATTATAGTTTGGAAAGATAGCTGAGTAACCAGACTGCAGTTTTAGAAATACGTGGGTCTTTTGTTGCTGTTCTTAATGATTAAGCTTGGAATTGTAAAGAAAAGGTTAGCTAGGCATTTGGTGCAAGCTGACAAACTAAGACTATAGATACAGGGTAAATGGTGCTAATATTAACATGATATTTTCTTTCAATAATTGCCTGTAAGGTAAGATGCATTTTTGCCACCAAATTAATTTTCTTTACGGGACTGTCCTCCAGATCACAGATATCCCATTAGTTGTGGAAGGTAACTTTTAATTCTAATGTAGTATTTATTGCAAAAGAAACTATACTCTCATCAAAGAAAATTAAAACAGTATGAAGTTGGAAAAAAATAATGTGCATTTTTTTGTAATAGGAAAAACAATCTCCAGGCTACATCTCAATACAAAATATTGTCATATAAACAATGTAGTTTAACCAATTAATACATTTTTTACAGAAATTTATATCGAGCTTGGAGTAATAATTGATTAGTTTTTGAATTCATCCAATTTGAAAGCCATGCAAAAAAACCCCCCCCACAATTTTCTGAATGAGTTTTTTTCACCAGTGAATATTATATTGAGTTCTTATGTCCGGATGACATGGCACACTGTATTTGACATTACCTTGACTAAAATATGAATAAGACAAAAACAAGTATTCATTCACAATGATGAAATAATGGAAGAGGGGAATTTAGTCCTCACAGAAGTCACAGGAAGTTTTGCCATTATTTAGGGAATTCTTGTTTCATTCACAGAATAGAACTACCTTTACCATTAAAATCATTGAGGAATATTCACTAGTGAGACACTACAAGCAGTATTTTGAGAAAACTAAAAAGTGAGGCATCAACTATGCTCTGCCAATCAAAAGTGCTGATTGGATCTAAATGGCAAAGTTCATTTTGTACTTACTTACAGTTGTAAGTGAAACAGTTTTGCAGCAACATCACTGGATAATAAAACTTCCAAATAACTTTACAGGAGCTGGATTTTGAAGCTAAGACAAGCTATACCCTGCGGATAGAAGCAGCCAATATGCATGTTGACCCTCGCTTCCTAAGCCTGGGACCCTTCAGTGACATGACAACGGTGAAGATCATTGTAGAAGATGTTGATGAGCCACCTGTGTTTACTTCACGTTTGTACTCCATGGTGGTGTCTGAAGCAGCAAAGGTCGGCACTATCATTGGAACTGTAGCAGCCCATGATCCAGATGCCTCAAATAGTCCTGTCAGGTAATTATAACATTTCTTAATTGTTTATTTATTTAGCCTTTGTAGTGAAATTGTTAATTTTGTTGTGGGAGGGTCTTTGGTTGCACTGAAAGCGATTAGTTAGCTTTTTTCCCTTGCAGAGGGAGACTGTGATATTCACAGTTTGCATATTTTGACTTTTATACTCCTGAACTACAGAACCTTTGTAAAAATAAAATATTTAAATCTCTGTAAAACAAAGAAAATAAGGTAAGGTAAACTAAGCTCAGGTATAATTTCAGAATTCCAAAGAAAAAAACCTCAACATATTACTCACATTTATTTCTCTCTAAGTTTAGGAAGAGTCTATTATTATCTATAACAAGTTATGTTCTCTTAAATCAACTGGGACCAAAAAAATGTATATATAATATACATATATATGTGTCTGTGCATAATGATTCATATTCTGCGTGCACTATGCAAAAGAATGTAATAGCACATAGACTCTTGCATGTTAAACCAGAGCTGAGGTTGCACAGAAAGAAAAAAAAAAAAATAGAAAAAACTTTACATGAGAGAAACGGATAGGACAAGACGTGTCCTGTTCTAGTCAGGATAGTAAAGGCAATACTATTTTGGCTTTTGTAAATTCTGCTGCAGCCAAATATCTTCCATTCAAATTGGAAGAGGTATGAACACTGGAGAGCCATGAAAACTGTCAAAGGTCTCTTCCTTTGTCTTCAGGGTGTGAAGAACCTGCAAGTCTTCCACAATCTAATATCTAGGATCATAAAGAAACCATAAGAAACCCCAAAGTATCGATCTTATGTTTGCCTGCATCTAAGATCAAAGCTCAAGGACTAACCTCCTAAGTTAAACCAGTAATGAGTTACTTGTTACTTTTCTTATGCAGAGTAGTAATATTAATTGTCAAAGGAACATGCAAAGGATCTAAATACTTCTGACTCAGGAATTTTGTGAACTTAAACATCTGCAGGAGGAGGAACGTACACACAATTAAAAGTTAGTACTAAGTTTCGTTTGTTATTATTGTTCATTTAGGGCATGCATAGAAAAGAACTTAACAGGTACAAAACTTATTTGGATGTCACCTCTTTTGGTGATGTTAAATTTTTACTTTCATGCACTGAAGATGAACTTGTGACTCCAGTGTAGCTCTGTAATTTATAAAGCAGCAATCTGAAGTTGTAAAAATAAAGCATATGTTTCAGTCCTAGAGGTGATGTGTTTTCTCTCTCTCTTTCATTATGTATTTGCAACATATTCAAAATAGCTGATTCCTATAATGTATAAACAAGTCCTAGATGGATGATTGGCAGGGATTTACTTGTGAAATTTATCTTCACTGAGCTCTTTCTTTGCTGTGGCAGTGTTTTCTGGCACTGATGTTAGCATCTGGTGTATAATATCTGGTTTAGCAGAATCATGTAGAGTAGGATTAAATCCAGTTCCATAAATGCCGTCCACGCTCAGAATGTTTTTGACTCCTGTGTAAACATAAGGATGAGTTTATTGGCTTTGATCTGGTTGATTTTTACAATTCCAACATAAAAAATAGTTATATCACCAGCTTAACTAACAGCTTGAAGATTTCTTCTCCTTCAAACTTGTTTGGAATTTGAGAGGGAGGAAAAAGAGAAATAGTGATGGCTTATCTACATGTCTGCAAACCTGCTGTATATATTGTTGGGGGTACTGACAGATCATATAATTTAAAGCTGTCCTGCATCTGCTATGATGTACATCAGAGCCAGATTCACCTAAAATTGGAATGTGTTTAGGAGGATTAATGTATAATACTTTTCATGATCTATTTAAGAAGTTTAAATTATTAATCTATAAGTAAGTATTTCAAATTCCAAACATAGGATTATATTGATATTGATTAAAGATTAGATTCAGAATTTGGAAAATGTTGAAATTACAAGATCAGATACAATTAAAACCTTGACAATGCTGCGGGGAGCAGGGGGAAGTAATAAATAGTTTGAAAATAAGAGGTTATCTTGTATGGACCTGAGAACTATTTGTGTTTGAACTAGCTTAAATAAAGACTTTAAAACTCCTGCAGCTCAAAGATTTTAAAGTATTAATGGCTGTAAGGAATTAAAGGATTAGAAGTATTTAAAATAAGTTTTTTAAAATTTGAATATGGATACAACACTTGTAAATTAGTTACAGGAAACTGCTTGCCTCCACTGCATAGAGTTGATTTTTCTTCTTGTTTCATAAGAATATCTTGTCCATTTTATATAACTGGTTTGATCTCCCTCCTTCCTTCTTCCTTCCTTTCTTTCCTTCATTCATTTTTCCTCCCTCCTTCCCTCCCGCCTTTCCTTTCTCCTTTTTATTGCTTTCTTGCATTCTTTTCCTTTTTCTGTCTTTCTCTCCTTCCTTCCTTCCTTCCTTCCTTCCTTCCTTCCTTATTTTTTTAAGAAAGGTCTCTGGCTTTTCAATTTGCATAGTGATAGTGTTAATAATTGGGAAATCTAAGGGCTGGCAGGAGGTCGAATCCCAGCTACAGGGCCTGCTAAGACTGACTACATAGCAGAGGTGACAGCCATAGTCTCGTGGGGAAGCTTGCCAGCCACAGAACAGCTGAAGAGCACTGCTCACCAAATAAACAGTGCTAGCATGAAATTAAGTAAAATTAATACAGTTAACATAAAATGGGGAAAAAATAATGAAAGGGGGAGAGCCTTAATCCATGAAAACTGCCGTTACTGTTGTTACAATTCTTTACCCCATTCTCTCTCTCCCTGTGACATAATACGGTGAAACAATTCTAATTATGTAACAAGTCTCTGCACTAAGATTTTGTAGCTAAGAGGTATAGATAAAAACATTGTAATGTAGCATAGGAGCTGGTACATTACAACACAGAACAAACAAGTAGTGCCATAAGGTCTTCATACCTGGGAAGTCCCCTTTTTTAACTATCTTCCATAATTCTTTCCTTCCATGTTGTTCAAAGAGTTTGGTTGATGTTATATCAATAATCTAAAATATCATCAGTGTGATAGTAATTGTAATGATCACACTTGGTCTGATTTGGCGATTTTAATTCATCCTGAGTATAGAGAAGTGCTCTGGAGTCCATACTTGATCTAAATGAGAGTGCAAGAATCGGACCCAATATTAAACCGAATGTCAAGAATATTCCAGCTGTAAATCTAAATCTGCCTAATCAACTATCCCTTTCTCTCAAAAGGGTTATAAGCAAAACACCCACAGGCATTTTGACCTTTTCCCTTCTGCTATTTTCTGTTTGTTAAGGAGCTCATTTCCCCTTTCTAAAACAAATGCGGAGGTAAAAGATGTATTAAGCCAAAGAGTTAAGGGCATGATCCTGTGTTTGTTTAATGAAAGTAAAGCACCAGGAGCTGTCAGTGATAACATGTAATCCCTTGACCTACCCTGCATCATCTTTCTTTTTTTCCCTGCCCCTGCTGCTCTGGGTGACTCAGGGGCTCTGCTGCTGCCGATAGAAAGCTCTGTGCTCAGACCGTCAGCCCCCATGGGAGCAGTGCCCAGCTGGTACAGCCATGTAGCAAACCTCCAACTTGCCTTCTCCTTAGCTGGGGTTCAGGAGGATGCTATTCCATGAATAAATGAAAGTTTGCCTTACAGCAGAGAGAAAGAAAGGAGCGGGTAATACCTATAACCTCACTTAAGAGGGCACTATGGGAACAGAGCCCATCACTGTCAGCACGGGGCTCTGTGTAACTCTTTTGTACACAGCTTTGCTTCTCTGAACACCCTGGAGAAACTGGACAAAACAAAGCCTAAAGTGAAGAAACAGTGGAAACCTTTTCTCTCTAATAAGAAATCAATGAAACATTTTTAGAAGATGTAATTGAACATAAACCAAAAGTTTTCTTTCATCCTTCACCTAGGTACTCAATAGATCGAAACACAGACCTGGAGAGGTATTTCAATATTGATGCCAACAGTGGAGTCATTACAACTGCCAAATCTTTGGACAGGGAAACGAATGCTGTTCATAATATCACAGTTTTGGCTATGGAGAGTCGTAAGTAACAATTTAAAGATTTTACTGGCTGTTTATGTGTAAAGGTTCAGGCTTCATTGTGATCAGCTGCATTGAAAGAAATTATGACACTTTCAAACCATGGCCGATAAAAATAACTTCCTACTCAATGTAAAAGAAACCTATGTGATAAAAATTAAGAAATGAAACAGATTATTTGCTCTTTCCTTTGTCTCACACCTTGTGTAGTTTCTCGACTTCAGAAAAACAATTACAAAGAAAGATGAAATACATTAAGTCAGCAGTCTCAGACCAAGTATCATTAGCAGAAAAGTGATACAGAGCATAGGGCAGTGCAGTTAGCCCATCTTAGTGATGCACTCAGAGTTGGCTGCTGTTGGCCAACCACAGCATTCTTAAAAGGCATGAAGGAAAGGGGATGCGAATGCTTGTGTGCTTTCACTTTCCTGACTCTAAGGTAAGGCTGTAGAGGGTATTTTGTACTTGGTATCTCTTCTGGTGTAAGATGAAAAGTGTTGAAGAATCAAACTCTTTAAGCACGTACAAGGATTTTGTTAATACAGGTTTAAACTTGTTCAGTTCTGAATACATTCTGTGAAAGAATATATATATTTGCTTTTATATTAAAAGAATTTATTTCTTCAAATTTCATCCTTGTTACTACTCTGTTTGGCTGTGGTGATAATAAAAGAGTTATCAATTCTCTGACCACCTATTTTAAAAATACTGACCTCTTGCTTTCGGTGAGGTTAACTTAATGTTTAGCCTGAAAGCTAACATTTATCATTTAGTGCCTGTATGAATTTATTTTGTATTCTCAGGAGTAGAATTTTGTCTAAGAGGCCAGCATGGAAACCAAAAACTGGGTAGTAACAAAACTGACAAGCTAGCTAATAGGCATACCTGATACAACTGAGAGTCTTGGACCACAAATAATAACTTACAGTGCTTTAATTTATGTTCATGGCCTTCTTGGTTTTCAAGAAGCTAAGATCAGCAGAGGAAAAAGTTGGTTTCAAAATTGTTTACTACCCTGGTATTTCACATGTGGAATAAAAAGCTAAAACAAAGCACTTTGATCTACATTTGGATGCATTGCTTTAAATGCTTATAATACTTACTAAAATGTGGTTGCAATACCCTATAAAAAGATAGATACATATTTGAGGGTTTGTACAGTTTTTCATTCTGCCCTGCTCTATCACTAATATCACCACCCGTGGTAAAAAAAAAAAAAAGCAATCTCTCTTTTCTAGCTTCCAAAATAGAGGTGTTATATAGCAAAATAAGTATAACACACGCTGATATCCTTTATGCTTAGTCCAAAAATATCTACTGTTTAAGATTAAATGGTGACATTGGACCCTACACAGATTCATTTTTTAACTAGAGATGTACATCTGTTAAAGAATGCAATTCATGTTTGAGGTAACAGTGTTGAAATACTTAATTGTCTGTATACTACAAATACTTTGGAATTTGCTTGGGAATACAGCTTCCTCTTTTTTTCTGTTATACATAGCTGATGGAATTCCGGTTTTAACTTCTTAATATCTTGATCTATCTGGATTGCAATAAAAAATTATTTAACCTGTAGTAACCATGTTATTGCCAATATGAATTATGCTTTTCTGACTAGCTATACCCCTTGGTGATGGTTTTACATCATCTTGCTCTTATCCTTCCATATGATGTGATTCAGCACTGTGATTAGTAAGTTAAATTTTCAGTTCATCCCTGAAAGTAAAATCTTAGTTTAATTGAAGCAGCTTCGAAACATAAACATTGTTTCCACTAAGTCCAGAAGACCAAGCCGAGAGCTTCCTTTGTCTTTCTAGTAGGGATTGCAATTGATTTGATATGTACATGCAAAAGAAGAATGCAAATGAAAAATGTACTAACCGAAAGAATAACTTGCAAGGACCTCTTGATTGTTTTGTTGTCTTCTTTTCCTATAGAGAATCCAGCACAGATTGGGAGAGGCTATGTAGCCATCACTATTCTTGACATAAATGACAATGCCCCTGAGTTTGCCATGGAGTACGAGACAACTGTCTGTGAAAATGCTCAGCCTGGTCAGGTACGTCTTGATAGGTTTTTTATGTTTATTGTTATCAGATAGGCAGACATTCCTTATCAAAGCCTTCCAGCTTTAATATAAAATATAATCAGCTTATGGCAGCAAAAATAACACTTTGATGTGCAGCACAAGCAAATATTAATCAAACCCTAACATCTCCACTGTACCTCTGAAGAGAAAGACTCAGGTGTAAAAAATTACTTGTTGAAGGTTCTGTTAAAATATCTGGTTTTCTTACTGATGTAACTGACACATTTTGCTAAACTCACCTTATTGTGAATAATATTAAGAATGTGTACTTCTTCCTAATTTTGCTGGGAAGTGGGAAGTCATAACATGGAGGTTATTCTGAGTCTAAAGGCCTAGTATTCCTGAAGTGAGCACACGCTTTCATTTGTCTTCGGAAGTGTGGGCCATAAGGCCACAATTTCACAAGGGAGATGTATTCCTACCATATTCCTCAGTGGTTTTTACATCCCCAACCATTTTCCAAGTAGTCCTAGACCTAACTAAAAGTATCTGGTGTTGTTTATCCTTCGTGTCTCTCATATTTGGTCTTTTCCTCTCTACTTTGTAAGACCTCAGAAAATACATATGTTTTCTCATTCTCTCTTCTCTTTCCCTGAATACTAGTAGATGTTTCACCTACATAGATCCCACATATTCCCTGGGACGCTTTGCATTTCTGTGCCTTCTCCCAGACTATTGTGCTTCCTGTGGCAGATGTTTATTGCACATTTCAAAATCACAGCATAATTTAAATCCTTAACAGAAAAACACTATGATTATTAGAGAAATATAGAACATGAGTGCTCTTTCGGGAGCACCTGTTTGTTTTCCTGTGATCTAGTCAGAACTGTTAGCTCTGACTATTCATTCTTTTTGTATTTTAAGCAATGATGACACTTTTTAGAGACAGATTTTGTCAGCATTTTAGAAAATATAGTTGGAAAAATAATAATAAAAAAGAAAACCCATAAAATATTAATAGACTTATGACTTGGCTTTTTCTTTTTCATGATAATAAAAAAGTACATTAATTAAAATGGTCAAAAGCATAATCTTCTCCTTGCAAAAGTTTACAATTTTGATTGCAGCTACTGACAAGTACATTAAGGGCCGTCCAGAAAGATGCACTTCTTCCACTGCTATGCGCTTTATATTCCAAGCCTTGGTGAATGGCAGGACCTAACATTCTCAGAGACCTTGCAGATCATTGCTTTTAACCAATAAAGTTGATACAGGGAAGGTAAAGAGTTGAGCCACATTTTAGTTTTAATAGTGTCTGTACAAGTTCAGGAGATTAGAAAACCAAAAAGCAATATGAGCAGGACTCAAGACAGGGTTGATACTTTCGTAGGTAATAGAAGAGTTATACAATGTACATGTATTTATGCTTCTTACCATTCCAAACAATGAAACTCCCATGTATCTCTAAACAGGTCATCCAGAAAATCAGTGCAATTGATAAAGATGACCCACCAAATGGCCATCAGTTCTACTTCAGTTTAACAGCAGAGGCAGCAAATAATCACAATTTTACACTGCAGGACAACAAAGGTAAGGACATTTTGTTTGGGTAAATATTCACCATTAACACCTTTCATTTTGAATATGACCTACATAAACTTCTATTCTGGTAAGGACATAAATTAAAGTACAATCAGCCTGCAAAATAATTTTATCTGTAGATTATTTGTCAAGGGACAATAATCTTCTCCTGTTTGAATCATTTAAAGTCTTGAGCCAAACAGAGCAGCTTCAAATCTTTTTCTTTTTTTTTTCTGAAGTCACTCTTCTCACATTTTTCCTTGTATTTATAGGCTTTTATCTAAATTAGATTTTACCTTGGGGCAATGACTGAAAAATGTCCAGGAATTCATGTTTTATTATTATAACTCAGGGCATAAAAAATGAGTGCACGGTAAATCAAGAGGGGTGTTTTGTGAGAAAAACCTATCTTTTCAGTAAGTATACCACCTACTGAAGAATGCTTTTGATAATGGAAACTGCCTACAATATTTACACAGACTTCTTATGACTATTTCCCTAAAGACTTATGCAAAGACTCCCATTGACATCACATTTCTATTAGTTAAAATATCTGAGAACATGCTTCTAATTAGTGTTCTCATTAGTTGCATTGCATAGTATGGCAGCTGGGCATGTATCAGTCAGTTTAGCTATTAGCGGAAGCAAATAGAACCTAACAGGCACTCTGTTACTCTTGCATTGTTCTTTTGTGGATCGTACTAAACCAGAGCTACAAAGTCATCCTTATTAATAAAATAAGAAAGACAGACATATGGGGGGCTAAAGGACTCTGTACAGACAGACTTTGAACAACATTCACTAAGTATAACATGTGACCTAATAAAGTTCTCTCACACAGCTATTTATTGCCTTACTCTGCATGTAGTTACTGACATGCTTAATTTTCTTCATATGAGCAGCTTGCAGTTAGAAACTAAAGACTATAATAGTAATAATGACCAAATAATAAAAATGCACTAGAATAAGACTCTAATCAGAAATCTGATATCATTGCAAGTACTGTAAAATATTTAATAAAAAGACAGGCCCTCTTCCAAAGAACTTATAATTTGAAAAAAGTAATAATAGATTTCTTCATTGCCAGTAAAATCAATGGAGTTACAAGACACAGCAATGGGGGCTTCTTTTAAAGATATTTAATTTTATGCATATCTCATATGATGCTGTATCAAGAAGTGATTGTATACTTTGTCAGATGGGTCATAATAGATGACACAGTACAGTAACTCTACAGGACTATTGATACATCTGTTTATAAATATCTAGATAAGTAGATTGATGGATAGACAGACCGACCAACCTTTTCTATACATTCTAGGAGATGTAGCTCCTTACTTCTCAGGAGCTGTGTACCTGTATTGAACACAGTGAATTTTGCACATATTTTCTGGAACACGTGGACTTTTTAATAGCCCAACTCAGAGCAGCATCAAAGCACACGTTTTAAATTGATTACATTTGTCGTCTTCTTGACTCTCAGCTGAGACTGAAAACAAGTGCATGGTTTTACGTGTGCAATTACCTGTATTTGTGCACCAAATGGATTTATTTTTTTGCATTCAAAGAAATATTTAATTCGTCTTCAGAACTTGTTCTCCTATTAATACGTTCACCTCTTCCATTAGTATGATAAGTATATCTGTAAATAATTGAAATTTTGCTCCCTTAACCAAGGAGCAATGGTATCCACCTGGCAGAAAGCCACGGCCCCTGTAAGCTCTGCACCCACCATGACTGACACAGCTTCCCAGACAGCTCCGGTGGGAACACGCTGGCACCCAGGTGCCAGGCTGCAGGCTGTGCCCTGCTCTCACTCCAGTATCGGCAGGCAGGAGTGAGCACACCTGTGGGAGGTGCGCCCCGGTAGAGGAACTCCTCCGCTTAGTGACAGAGCTCGGCGAGGAGGTGACTCGGTTGAGGAGTATCAGGCAGTGTGCGAGAGGGAGAGACGACTGGCATCACACCCTGCCTTCCCTGGGACAGGACCAACAGGCAGACAGGATGCGTGACATGGAGCCATCCCTATCCTCCAGGGACAGGGGGCAATGGCGACAAGTTCCTGCCTGGTGCAGCAGGCACATCTCCTCTGTGACCACCCCACCTTCACAGGTGCCCTTGCAGAGTAGGTATGAGGCTCTGTGAGTGGAACTGAACAAAAATGAGGACAATGGTTCATCCAGCTTGGAGATGTTGCCAAGGTTAAGTCAGCCTATGCCCTGCATCAAAACTGCTTCCATAAAGAAAAAAGATGGGTCATTGTCATAGGATACTCCCTTCTGAAGAGAACAGAAGGCCCAATATGCAGACCAGACCCACTTAGGAAAGTCTTCTGCCTCCCTGGGGCCTGGGTTAAAGATGTGAAGAGAAAGCTTCCTACCCTGGTGTGGCCCTCAGTTTATTATCCATTACTGATTTTTTGGATAGGCACGATTAAACTGGAACAAGAATTCCGAGGGCAATCAAGAGAGACTTCAGGGCCTTGGGAAGACCAGTTAAGGGATCAGGAGCACAAGTAATGTTCTCCTTCATCCTTCCAATTGCAGGGAATGATGAGGGAAGAAACAAGAGGAGCCAGCAGATCAATACCTGGCTCCAAGTCTACTGTCACTGGCAGAATTTTGGGGGTCTTGACCACGGATCAGTTTGCATGGCACCAGGCCTGCTGGCAACAGATAGGGTACAACGGTGTCAAAGGGATCTTTGCACAGGAGGGCTCTTAGCAGGGCTCATTGAAAGAAGTTTAAACTAGATTTCAAGGGGGAAAAGGATAAAAGGGAAAGGGATAAAACCAAGCCTGCTATAGATAGGCCTGGGGGTGGCATGCCAGCGTTTGAGACAAAATGGCCACAAAGTGTGCCTGGGGAGGTTTAGGTTGGATATTAAGAAAATTTTTTGCACCGAAAGGGTTATTAAGCATTGGAACAGGCTGCACAAGGTAGTGGTGGAGTCACCATCCCTAGAAGTATTTAAAAGAAGTATATGTGTGGTGCTTAGGGATATAGTTTACTGCTGGACTTGGCAGTGCTAGGTTAGTGGTTGGACTCAATGATCTTAAAAGTCTTTTCCAACCTAAATAATTCTATGATTCTAAATAAATCCTTGGAAATTAGACCTGAAACAGTTATAAGGATACTTAATCTAATCACTGAAGGGTGATTATTTTTCTTTTTTTTTATAGTAATCTCACCTTCAACTATCAATCAAAAGTGTGGAACTATGAGCTTAACTAAAACCAAATAGACCTCTGCAATTTTGAAAAAATCTTTAATGGAAAACAGAAATCTTTTTGTTTAGTTGAGTATAATTTCTCAGCTGATCCTATCTCCGCAGCTTCAAAAATATATTTCCAGGAAAGATAAACTTTTAAAAATAATATAAATGTGTTTAAAAAGTCTTTTAAGTGAAAGACTGTACTACTTATAAGCTTGTGTTTGAGAAAGGTCATGTATTTCATATTTATCTTCTTATTCCTTTATCTAGATAACACTGCAACAGTATTAACAAGAAGAAATGGGTTCCGAAGACAAGAACAATCTGTTTTCTACTTGCCAATATTCATTGTGGACAGTGGATCACCTTCACTTAGTAGCACTAATACCCTCACCATTAGAGTCTGTGATTGTGATGCAGATGGTATTGCTCAGACATGCAATGCAGAAGCATATATCTTGCCTGCAGGACTCAGCACTGGAGCTCTGATAGCAATCTTGGCTTGTGTCTTGACACTGCTAGGTATGTCTTCTTCCTGTAACCATTATTTTCTGTTCAATGTATAGTAGCAAAATATATATATATACACACACGTATATAAGCTTCAACCCACCCCTCCCCAACCCCTGATTTCTGTAAACAAGGACACCTAACATTGCAGGCACAACAGCATTTGGTAACATGAGCCACACAAAACCTTTAGTTTGGGATTTTCAAGTTCAGATACCTTTTTTTCTACATCAAGATGCCTCCAGAGGTATATACGAAATAATAGTAACAGAAAAAAGATCACTTGCTTCAAATGTAATATTTAAGAAAGAGACAATGAACTTTATGGAAGTATTTGGTTTAGGATACTCACCATATAACCAGTATCTCTGTGTGTCTCTTTTTCAGAGATAACTCCTTTTAAGCAGTTACTGATTTGCAGAGAACAAAAGACATTCAGAAAATACAACAGATGTAATTTACTAATGTGAATCATCATATTTAATTGAACATTTTCTACAGAATGATATTTTGCTACTTCTGCCACTGGTAGCACTGTTGGATTTTATGTTGTGCAGTGAAACTGCAACTAGATGAAAGACAGTTGGAAATAGTGGAGCAGTGTCAACATCCTAGTTTCGTTAGCGTTTCTCATTTCGTGCTTAGTCCTTAAACAAAATGAAAACATGGTAGTAGTAAAGGCCCAAATTAAGGAGGAAAGATGAAGGATCATCCTGCATCTGCAGGAAGCAGATTAGCAAAGCTGCAGTTTTACTTATTGTCAGAAAGATCACATGTTAACAAGGATTCCAATTCAGCATACAAGAATTTTCTTGAGTGTTGTTATTTGTGGAGGGATTTTTCTATTTTCTGGCTGTACATATCAGTCTAATGGGAAGACCATAGGCTCCTCAAGTTGGTATAATCCTAGTGGTGATTTATCTGTCGCTGTTATCTAGGTAATTTGAATAGGTCAAATCAAGAGATTTTTGTCTACACTTCTGTATATGCCATTATTTCAACTAAGAAGAGTTCTCTGCTTATTGACTGATTCACTTCACTGTGAACTGGTAGAAAGAAATGTCCCTTCTGCTACAAACATTTCCCAAAAGGACTCAAAAAAAGAAATCTTCTTGCATTATTGTTATAGAGTAAGAAAAATCACTATCTCTTCAATGAACCCAACCAACTTACTCAATAGCTATGTGTAGGAGGTGGCATGTCCAGAGTTTTCCATCTTTGTGACAAGAAAACCTAACATAAGATTGTTTAAACTTTGCTCAACACATGGTTAGGCATATGTTTAAGGAAAAATGGAAGGGAATGAATGCCAAAAGTTTCAATGAACACTTTTAAATACCATTTTTCTAGCAGCATTTCTAGGACATTTATACACCCAAATGAACTATATTTGGACATGAAGTTAAATGGTAGAGTTCAAATGAACCTACAGAATGTTAGGTCCTTCCCTCATAGCACTTGGCATTGACATCAGTGGAAAACCAGTCATTTAAAACTTTGGTCCAATGTACTTAAAAGGAAAAGTTCTGTAACAATAACAATTCACTTCATCCTAAATTAAAATGTCACCATTTCTGTTACATATAAGATGGGAATTTCTGAAGAATATATAAGAAACTACTGTTGATACAAGGCAGTGTGGCCTGGGCATAAGCGTTTCTTAAATAGGAGCCATATGTCTTAAAGAAGAGCATTCAGTGGAGACACAGCATGTTACCAGGCAATAACTTGCTTATTCTACTCAATACACGAGGGATCAAATACAACCAATAAATCAGGAAACCTGAGTTTTCATTCCGGTAATGTTTAGAGTGTACTGAACAAGTGCTTGGTAAAGAATTGAGAATAAGCTCTCTGACCATATTGTTTGAATAATGGGCTATGTGCTGGATAGAAACTTGGCAGATGACCACCTTACCATTGGTTTTAGCTGTCAAAGAATTGGACTTCCAAATTCAGCTATCTGAATGTATCATCACCACTGTTTATCCAAATACACATTTGTATGTGCTCTCTTCACTTCCAATCCAAACTATTCCTTTTGGATACAGTTCAAAGCTGCAGGCACAGTTTAGGCTGTGTTTGTATGCTAACCCTGGCTTTGAGTCACTCATTTTGGTACTGTATCCTACTGCTGTTTTATTGCCAGACAGGCGCGAGTCTTCACAAGGAAGAACTGCCTAAGCACCACTGCTGCCCAGTGAAACCCGAGTCAAACGTTGTTGCTTGTCTGGTCCCTGAGTCTTTCTTCTTCTCTCATTTGTTCCTAGAAGACATTTTCTGGCATCAGCTGAATGGTAGTACTGCTAGGAATTGCCTTTCACTTTTTTCCATTTTTCTTTTCATATCCGTTCCTGAGAAAAAGTCCTGATGATCCACTAGCACAGCATAAAAAATAGGCTTCAGCTGTTGGCAAGTGGTTCTACGACTGGGACCAAGGGATGCGCCTTTTTCTGTAAGAGTTTATCAGTGAAAAGAGGAGACAGGCTACCGGATCAAAATTTTTTTCTGACCCAAGATTAACACGCAATGCAAATCCAGTCACATTCATCAATGTCATCTCAGTGTGAGTGCCAGCTGTAAAGTGGAGGAGGGAAGAGATTTGCATAAATGTCATGAATACATGCATTCTGGCACTAGTATCTTGAATTCTCAACAAGCTCTTATCTTCTTAAAGTTAGTATGATGTACTTCGATATTTGTTGTTGCCCGATACATCCCTTTGTCTAATAAATAACCATTTGTCTTGACCAGAGTTCAGATTGTCTCAGTGGGATTTCTTAATATTACTCTTTTTACTTAAGAAACCAACCAATTTTACATTAGCACAATGTTTTCACTGATGCTAAGAAGGAAGAATGTTACTAAATCATACTAGTTCATTATAATTGCACATAATAGTGTAGTCTATTTTTTCAAACTAAAATAATGTTTGAAAATCAAAACTATTTTACCAAAATCTCTTTTCCTCCTCATATTGACTGATGGAGATTAAATTCTAAATTTCATTCCATAAGAAAGTTACAGTACTTTTTTAATTACTCAAAAAAGCTTTATAATTATTCACTCTGCAATGAAGTTATGTTTCAAAGAAAAAAAAAACTTTTAAAAAAGTGCTTGCAATTTATTCTATAAAAAGCATATGAAAAGCTCATTTTTTTTCATTTTAGACTGTACATAATTTTTAGAGAAGTAGCAATTTTTTAACTCCTCTGAAAGTTATAATGTGATTTAATTCAAGGTAATTTGTTTTTCGGTTAGCATCTTCCAGACCCAATAAATAATTGCTTTTGTAACAAGTGTTTAGCATAAAATGTGTACATAAAATCACCCCAAAAAAAGAATGTTCACCTGTAGATAACCCAACATATTTGAGGTGTTAAAGATTTTTCCTTCTACTGAAACAATGGAAAGCTAGGTTGACATAATGTTTTTTCATTTTTTTTATTTTCCATAATTCTGAATACAATCTATTAGTACCACCTATTTTCTTATAAAAACTAAAGGAAGCATCCTATTAGTGTGGTACTAGAGTTTACAAGTTAAATTATTAAAATAATACTTTGATTAAACTTCAAAATACAGATTTAAATTATTATTTTTTCAGTTGAAAGATGGGGAATTTGTTATTATTATATCTACAAGAACCCAATTAAATCAGCACACATAATTGTGTGAATCATAAACAGGAAGAAAGAGTCCTGGTCATAAGGATCTATTCTCTAAACAGGTAAAATATGTACAGAATGTGACAATGCAGTATATGTGGATTTTGGTCTTGCAGTTTTAAAAGTGATAAATCTGTAACTGTTTTAATTTGGGAGTATCCAAATTTAAAAATTTAAAATGTGGTTGAGTATGCAATGCAGAGGCTGTTTTTTATAGAGCCTATTAGGGTCACTCAGTGTGGACATTTAAAGGTCACGGTCACTTTGCAAATATCATTCCAAACTGATTAAACAACAATTATATATGAAGCTTGCTAACTGGAAATTGATTGCAGGTTTCCTGAGCCTTGGCTTCTGTAATCCCCAAATCTCATCTGACTGTGCTAGCAACTGCAAGGTATAACAAAATAGGTTATTAGTGTGCTGCTTAGATGGCTGAGGATCTCCAATCTTCAGCTTTATGAATCATGACACACCTAAAGCATAAACCAATGTGCAGATTTGCTTGCAGCTGATGCGGCTTATTGCTATAGTAAATGCCAGGCTTAGGGGTATAGCATATACACGGCATGATAATGCTTGTGATTTACCTCTGTCCCTTACTGTATATCTCTGGATGTAGCCTTCTCCCTCGGGTTGTCTCAAAGCTTTTACAGCTTCCTTACAATTATGTTGCAGTTACCTTGAGTACAAAAGGGAATATTAATACTAAAACAGAGAAATATTCTCAGGTGACCTAAACCTGACTTTTTACCAGATCATACCTAAATGGAAATTTCATAATAATTCTATAAAGCACACTGCAAGATGTCAAAGCAAAAACCTGCTTTTGTATTCAAAGGTGTTTGTTTAAAGACTGATTTAGGTGAACTGAAACTACTGATATTTTCACTACATCTATACTGACACAATGATAAGACTACGTATTATCACAGCTAATATAAATACAATTGACATTTTCTGTTGGCTATTGTACCTGTTAAAAAAAATCAACATTTCTAGCAATTCAGGTAAATCAGAATAAAAACATTAATTTAGATCTGTCTTTATTAGTTCTGGTTATTTAGTCTTTATAATTAGTTACTTCTAATATTGATTGATTTATTTGTGAAAACAAATATGAAATCAGTATTGCAACTTCATCTCTTTAGCATGAGTTTGCTGTACCAATAAGGAGCCAAACTAGTGGCCTCAATGTGCAATAAATGTGTCCCTAAAGCTTTTCCACTATATTATTTCTTCTCTAAAGAGCATAAAATTAGGTTTTCTGTATGTTCAGCCAGTCACTAATTACTGACTTGATCTCTGATTTTGTGATAATTGTTGGGAAAAAATGCCACCATGACTTAAAGAGAAATGGATAAGCTTTAAAACCATTTGCACTTGATTTAGATATCAGTGAAATATGTTTTGGGCTTGTATTCACCTCTGCAGTTCCTGCAACGTTGCTAAAGCTTTGTTCATTTAGATGTTAAACTTTATTGTTCATAGCTGTTGGAAAAGCTAGAAATTAATAATCTCATAAAGCCATCTAAATGCTAACATATTTAACCTTTAGAAAGACTCCATATTTTTATTGGCTTCAAGCAAATGTGAGATGTACAAGGAATACTATATAAAACATTCATTGTGTCTTGACTTTTATTGTACCTTTAGGCAGACCTGCCTAATAAGTTTCATATTTTTCACTTATTAGCAGGTATTTAACTTTCAAAATGAAGTCTGTTAAGAGGAACAGTGGTGTGAAAATACATTTACACTTGAGTAAAGGAAATTATTAGCTGCTTATTTATATGACAATAATAATTGTGGCCGTAAATGTTAAAAATAATTAAAAAGTTATGTCAATAGCAATTTTTACTTAAATGTATATTTGGACTGTCAGAAAGCTAATTTGTCTTTTAGTTTAAAATATCTTTTATAATAAGGAAAACCATTAAGAGTGGAGTGCAATTGTCTCTACAATGACAATTTTATGTTCTTTGTTGTATAATTTACAACTCAATTTGTATTATCCAATTATTAGAATGTTTTGAAATTTCACAAAGCCACTTTAAAGGTCAAAGTCTTATATTGTCAAACTGCTTATGTAAATATTGTTCAAAGCAATATGCCCCAAACTAGTGGCTTGTGAATTCAATATGTAAAGCATGAATCAGGGAGATGCCAGGGGCAAAAAAGTGAAAGAGTGATGCTGATGTTGCAGTAATACAGAGTCACAAGGCATCTGTTAGTAGATGGATCATTAGATGTGTGCCTGCTAGCTACTACAAAAAAGCAAAAAAATATTGCCTAATATATTTGTCAAAAAGTTTAGAAAAAAATTAAATGTTTTCCAGTTTTATTTTAGACATACATGGTTCCAAAGGAAAAAAGAAAAAAGAATTTCAGAAAGTCCACCTTTAAAGTCATCTTATGCTTTAGTGACTTCCAAATAGTACCATACTATCTATAGATGGTACAGTTTCCTGCATATACAGTCTCTGAATGACTGGTTTACTATAACCAAGTGATCCCAATATTAAATCATGCCTCATAGTTTGATACTGATTTTAGAAATTCCCGCATTAAAAGAAAGGCTTTCAAGAATGGCAGTCCTACATTATACAATTTATGGAGGCCACTACTGAGAATACCTAGGGAAGCTCAAGCTTAATTTTACCTACATCAGCTTTTGCTTTCCCAGATATTTATACAGCATTTAGTTGACATATCAAAGTACTGTAAGTAAAGATTGTAAACCTTAGACATATGAATGTATATAAACACATATTCTTAAGATTAAAAATAAACATAAAATCTGAAAAGATTAATTGAATATGGAATGACACTTACTTTTCAATATACTGATATTTTTACAGTCATAGTGATGTCTGCTATTTTCTAGGAGTATCATCAATGCAGCAAATGTTACCCAGATGCTACAATATAGTATTAATCATTTTCTAGGGGGATGATTCACACTCTGTTATGTGCCACAGATGGGTGCAATATTCATACTACTGGTTCCATATTTTGTGTGTCAGCAATTATGTTTCTCTACCAAAACTGTATTTGAACAAGAGAAGCCTTGAGTTAGTTTCTCCTTGTTCTTTTGTCTGTCACTGCAGTTTAGCATTAACTTTCAAGCTGAAAGAAACTTTGAAGATTAAAATTTAAAAAATAATTACATTTCTAGCACTGACTGATCCAATAAACTCCAGCCCTAGCAGTTCTCATTAGATGTAATTCATAAACCTGAAGTACAGTACTTTGCTCTTTATAGGAAAGGAAGGTCTTACATAGAGATACTTTTAATCCATGAACTAAGACAATCTTATTTTACACATTGCTTAACAATTAGGTGTTCTCCAATCTATGATTTTTTTTTTCAGCAGAGTTTGGCCATATACATTAATTCAGTCTCTTCCCAAACCATGGTTGTTAAATTCTATTCAGTTACTTTATGAATGTGCTTTTATCACTTGGGCAATTAAGAGTTCAGAAAAAGGTCCTTTTTTATTTCATGGCTGTGAGATTGTAATAGTCAGACTCAACCAGTCCTAAAATTTATGTTTAGCAGACAGCATAGATTATAGAATTAGAGATGAAGACGTTAATCCAGAATAGTTTGGAAATAGATTCTTTAATGTCTAAAAAGCTTATGGTTTAAAAGTTGTTTGAGAACCTGCTAGGTTACAAATCTAACTGCATAAATTGCATGTTGTGTCCTTGTGTCTTTGCCATATAAATTAGTGAGTACTTCCACAACTAGAAAAAATATGAGGAAACTTCAGCATTGCTAAAACTCCAGTCTTTCTGTCTTCCAGTTCTTGTCTTGCTGATTGTCACCATGAGGCGACGGAAAAAAGAACCCCTCATTTTTGATGAAGAGAGAGATATCAGAGAGAACATTGTCAGGTATGATGATGAGGGTGGTGGAGAAGAAGACACCGAGGCATTTGACATGGCTGCCTTGAGAAACCTCAACATTATCCGAGACACGAAGACCAGAAGGGATGTGACACCTGAGATTCAATTCTTGAGCAGACCAACTTTTAAAAGCATCCCAGATAACGTCATTTTTAGAGAATTTATCTGGGAAAGACTAAAAGAAGCTGACGTGGACCCCTGCGCGCCACCCTACGACTCCCTGCAGACATATGCATTTGAGGGGAACGGCTCAGTGGCAGAGTCACTCAGTTCTTTAGATTCGATCAGCTCAAACTCTGACCAGAACTATGATTACCTCAGTGACTGGGGCCCTCGTTTTAAAAGGCTTGCAGATATGTATGGGACTGGACCAGACTGCTTATACTCATAGCCTTGGAACCTTTCTCTGAAAATGCACTGAAGAATACTGAAACAGAAAACTCAACCTTACAGACTGAAGAAAGTTGTAAATATTTCTCCATTTTTAACCTTTTCGGTTTTTTTGCCTTGGTGGAACATATCTTCATTAGACTTGTCCTAGGGACTGCACTGACCACACAGAATATGAGCATTTGGTGGCATTTTTGATAAAATGAAATGCTCAGCCACATTCAAATAGATAGCAACCCTCAGATACCTGCAGAGGCAACTCACTTTCAAGAGTATGTTATGCACTGTGACCTCAATGAACCAATGATACTCTGTAGATGCCTTCACAGTACTGCTATATCTAGAACACAGAGTTTCTGGTATGAGATAAGAGTAAGAAGAAACAAATTTACAGATATGATATATCATTCAATACAACATTACAATATGTAATATTTATAAATGCAAGATTTTTTTAACATACTTTCTTTACGGTGTTGCATGCAGCTTGCTAGGCCAAAAGCAGAAGGACAGACATGAAAACAACCAAAAGTCCAGCAGATATTTTTTTGCTTCCCCTTGTTTGTTCTCAGAGCTGTTAAGTTAGAAGTCTCTGTGATTTTCTGGGTAGATTTACAAAAAATTACTGTTTGTACTAAGAAATTCCACAATGTTTGTCATGAACTTACTAAAGTAGTTTATAAACCACATAAAATGAGAAATATGGAGGGGTATTCTTGTGGTTGAAAAATTTTGTGATGCCCATGTAGGTATAGAAAAGATGTTGCTATCTATTTGCTATTTTTTATTACCTCTTCTGATTTGTACAGGAGAATTTATCCTTTTTTTATTATTATTTGACATAGAGTGTTATATTTATTTTGGAGCTCCAATCTCCACTAAATGCAGGTCCATTTTACTGCCTCATGGTATTAGACTTGTCAGAACATGCTGATTTTTCTCCAGTCTCAGATAAATGTAGGAAATGAAGCATGGAAATGGAGAAATTACAGTAAAGCAATCTCACCCGCCATTCATCTCTCAGAAAGGAGAGCAGCCACAAGGACATGCGGTTGTTCTTCTGAGCCATTACAAAGTCTAAGACATTTAAGTAAGATATTTGTACGTTGAATTTTTGGAAAGAAGACTACAGAGGTAACTCGGAGTGTCTTTAATGCAAGATTTAGTTTTCAAGGTTAAACATGCTATATGCTTCAAAGACTGTAAACATCTTGCTTTTCTACTTCACCTTCTCTTTTGCTGCTGACGGATCACAGTAAAAGACTCTTTTCACTTTCTTTCTTATGTTAAGCAGTGTAATGGTATTAACTCCAGAAATCATCTTTAGATCCTGCTGCACATAAGTATTTTTCCCCAAAGGTGTTAACTCACTACACATAATTTCTACGCTGGTTCAGGAGTGCCAAAACAGAAGGACAGCTACTGTTAGCTAAAACACTGTACGATTTTGAAGTAGGATTTCTTAGAATAAGACAACTTTTTTATGATTCTCACTATTTATACTTCATCATTTATGATTTATTACTAGATAATAAGGCATATATTCAAGTAAAATAGTATTTTTAAGTATTATTTCAGATTGCTTTGTTTTAGATAATCTGTAGATGAGTTTCTAAGTTAGGCTCTGCTCCTGCAAACTTTTTGCTTGTACCTAACTTGAAATGGCTTGAGTTGCCTGCAGTTACTGCGAGGCGTACAGAATTGTTTGCAGGACTATGTTTGCGAATAGAAGGTACTCCATAGAGGATGACGCTCACTCTAAAAGTACTTCTTTCTGAAAGAAGGACCCTTATACTAAAATCCTAAGGTATGGGTGACACCAGGCTGGGAGATGGGAAATTATCATCAAGGCTTTGTAATTCTTGCAGCCCAGCATTATCAATTAACTATGTGAAAGTGGCCTTCAGCTCCATCAAAGTAAACAAATTTTAATCATCTGCAACATATTTAATTTGAGTTACATTTTGGTAGACAATCATTGTTTCATAATTCAGTAGATTTGCTTCTAGTTGTATTAAATATATATATATAAGCATATATATATATGACAGATTTTGTAATGGAACTAAAAGATATCACCCATGACTTTTAGTCATACGTGTAAGATTTTCAATAAAAAATTTTAAAAAAATAAAATGAACCGTGTGTATGCAGTTTAATGAGAGCGAGATATGCTGCAGGAGTTAAGCAGGTATTAAATCATCAAGGTGCTGAGAGAACAGTATTCTATTAATCTCCTTGTTGTTTGTGGGGACATAATCCATGCACCTGGATTGAGGTGTCAAAAATGCTGATTTTAGCACCTAACATTCAAAGGAGATTTAAATGTGGTTTAGAATAAACAGCACTATTCCCTTGCTTTTCCACCTTCCATATCTGTAAAGAAACCAAAAATCTCCCGTGTTACGAAACTATATTAGGGGTTCTTATTGTGTGTGTTTTCTATGGAAAGAAATATGCTCTACTCTGATGACATAAAAACTCTTGCATATATATATTTTCTGTTGCATAGTTCTAAAATAATTGAGTTCATTTGCTGTTACATTATATATGCCTACTTATTGATTATATTGATGCAGTAAGAAAGAAAGGTGGAAATCCCTGATGTTTGATGACAGATGTTACTATGGTATATACATATATAATGCTCTCCACAAATTACCTTGACTATTGGTTTTCACAGTTTATAATCTGATTCAAATTCTTTCTTTGACTGTTATTTATATTGCATAGCCTGATGTCATAAAGTATATTCTACTGACTAAATAGTTTAAAATATAAGAAATATTTTCTCTGTCCTGGAAAGGTTATGAAATTTTTTGAGCAAATTAATTAGGCCTTTTAAAAAGATTTCCCATTTCATTTATTTATTTAACTTTCTGAAGAACTCCAGTATCTATCTAGAGGCCACAAGTCCTCTTTAAAAAGTATGTCAAACTTTGCAACCACTCCCAACGACAGTGAAACACCAACACCTCTTTCCTTCTAATATATGACAATTGAATAGGTTTATTTTAAATTGAGGTTTCCAAATGCCTTGAAAAACCTATGGTTTTAGGAGTGCTATGAAAAAAAAAATCCACATAAAGTTAACCCATTTGAGGAAGATTTAAGGCAAGACTCCTTACTCTGCTTTGACCAGAGTAAAATCTATTGAATTCAACAGAGTTAGAGAGTGGACATTTTGACATACATTTTTTTATTCAAAAGAATAAACTTAGTGTACATACTCTATTAAGTTTTATCCCCACTAAGACATTGCACAAGCCTTCCGAAGCCTACTAATTCTGATGGCTGGATTAATACAATCACTGCAGGACTCATGAAATTTGATAACACCAACTGAAACCTCTCCTCCCTAAGAATTTAGGGGAAAAAAATGGCTTCCTTTTTACTTGCTGTTTTCTTTGTTGTTTTGAAAGGGGAATTTCCCTTTAAAGTTAAGGTGTTTTCTCATTTATTTTATCCTGTTTACCCTTCAGATGCTGGCACTCATCAATAACAAAATATGTCTTGTCCTTATTTCTTTTTAGAGATTTTGGATGAAAGCATGTTATGAAATATAAAACAGCAGCATCTTATTTTTATGGACAAGTATTCTTGTATGATATAAAGAAAAGCAGTAGTTTGTGATTCTGAAAAAGAAATAAATATACTATAAATCGTACAATTACATTGAATTTTAAGATCATTGAAGAGTTGAAAGGCAAACACAACTACCTATATCAAATCTAGCATTAAATTCTTGGTTGCAGCCTCTCATGTGGCTGATTTTATTTTTCTATATGTAGATTTTTTCTCTGCTTTAGAAACTATGTAAAGCAATACTGCTTTGAGACAACATTGTATTCACCTCATTAGTGATAGTTAGATGGAGTCAAGTGTATTTTTATTGGTCTGTGACTCTAAAACTGAATTGCAAAAGATAGAAATATAATTTCTTCATTTCACTGAAACAGGAAAGACTACAAGATAACGAGAGGTCCGCAAGTTACAGTCTTAACAATGGCTTCACTAAGTTTCCCAGATATATACCTAAGTTTCCCAAATATATCCTGAGATATAATTACACCTCAGCATCATTTCTTCCACACGAAGAATTCTTCCTTTGCTCAGTATCAATCCAGCTAAAAATGTATTGTATTGCTTACTGAAAAGTTTTTAGGGATATCTGCCTGCAGTTTTGTTCTTTGAACTAGGAGAATCATGGTACACAACAGGAATAATCTATTTCCTAGATGAATGGAATGAAAAATATATCTACATACGAATGCTATATTTTGCTTTGTGACTACAGTTTATAATTTCTCACAAAAGAGGAAGAAAGTCTTTCAATGTGGTACATTAAACCTGTGAAACCTTAGACCATACAATTGCAAACAGAAATATATTGATTGGAAAAACTTGATTTACCTCAGCATTGTATGACACAAGATTGTCATGCAATCTTTAGGTACCTAATCAAACACAATGAAAGCGGAAAAGAGCATAGAAATTTCTTGCAAATCAGAAGAAAATCTAATTTGAAGCCACAGTGGTATATCATATACATGCTTCTTCTCTTACCTCATATGTGAACAGATATTTCCTAAAATTATATGTACATTTAAACATTCCACCCACACAGTATTTATTTTAAAATAACATATTTAACCAGAGAGTATCAAAAAAAATTAACCTTACTCTCAAAAACTTTGTCTGTCCCAAATAATGACTGATGTAGAAAAATACAGGTTAGACTCAGGCAAAACTTTTAAGATTGTCCCCTCAATAAAAGCAAGTTGTTTTCATATTTTTGCATAACATAGTTTAGAAGCTGTTAGAAATGTTGCAAGGACTGCCATTTCCATAACATTTTAAAGCCATAGCTTATTTTATAATAAAATGGTACGATCAAAATTCCTGTTCCTAGAAATGGCATAAAGTTAATTTTGTTGGTTAACTATGGTGATAAAACTATTGTGCATCATAACAGCAAGCTGAATGATGAATCAGGACTAGAAAAAAGTAAAGGTTTTTATTTTCTCCTTCTGCTCACCACCACCTCTGCCAAAGTCAGAATTTC